TCCCGGTGCCTTTGGATCGTCCAGACTTGAATCATCGAGTGTTTCGATGCGTCACAATCGATAAGACCATCTTTGTCTGGAAAGAATATCGTGGCATCGAACCGATAATCGAGCAAACCGAACCGAACTGGTACTTCAGGAGGTACCGGGGCACATTCGGTGAAGGGAGTGCTCAAAACGGTTGCCGCCAAAAAATGCTCGCGTAATGATAACATTATTCTGCGGCTTCCTCGGAGTTGAATGCACCAGCGCCTTGAAGTTGAAGAAGGTATTGTGCAGTGCAGCAGGCTGTTCAGCATAATGTGAGCCCATTCGCAGAAGATGGCGCCAACAGACGTGCCTGCGTTCTCGGGTCCACTCTCCACCGTAGTCCCTGTTGTCAACCATTGGTCGGACGCTTCGATGCTTGTGAGTCTGACAGGCCACCTTCATGTGCAATGATGTTGCATATGTACTAGTGGACAGAAATTCAGGAAACTGAAGAGCAGATGACTGCATTTTGAACAACAGCGAAGAGCTTTCTGCGAACTGTTGTGGTTTTGTTGGCAGCATTGTACGCACGGGCAGAGCTGGAGCCACAATATCACACGTATTGTTTCAAGGAGAGACAGAACCTTCTCTTGGCAGCATTTTTTGATAATATACATAGAATGGCGAACACAGGAACAGCTTTCTTCTCAAGGAGAAGTGAATCCTTCATGTCAACCTTCAGCCTTCGCTTTTTGGTGTTCAAGGGTTGCCTATTCGCTCATGAGTTTCGGAAATAGTTTGTACTTGTGTTGGGCCCAGACCTTTTTGCAAGAGGTCAGACTTCAACAAGCTACAGGCAGGCGTTAACTGGTGCACATGCTACATGCTACATTGTCAAGAAAGGATAAAAGTTGCCGTTGAAGAAGTCGTCAGCCAGTGAGTCATTGGGGAAGCTTTTGGAGTTCCAAACCCCCCGTGCTTCCTCTCGAAAGAAATGAAAGAGATCTATAATTTGGTATTTGCAGACTCCGCACGAGCCCATTCGAGAAGATTTGGTCCGTATGGAGCGTCTGCTGCAGGCGCCCTTCTTTGATGGGACGCAGCCCTGGAAGGTCGCAGCGTTCTTCAAATGGTACAATGAATGGTTCTCTTTCACCGTGAGTTACTTCCTCCTTATCTTCAGACATATCCTTGAAAGGCCAAATCATCCTGCTAGCCTCGCTTGTGCAATTGCAGTAAAACGTGAGCCGGAGGTTCGAGCCATCTGCAAAGTGCTCTTTGTGAAAAGGTTTGATCACAAGTCGAAAGCAAAAATGCTACAAGCCAGGTGAAGCTTGCGTAGCTGCAGTCAATCACATTGTCCACACTGTGACTGCCGAAGCCTTGTCAGAGGCTAGTCTCTCGATTCATGGAGCAGTGTACTTGGCACAAATGGTTTGATCTTTTAAGGTCCTGGAAAACAGTGAATCAAGTTGTTATATGCTAACCCTCCTGATTTGCAATGTGAGTTAGCCTCTTATGGGTTGCAACATAACCATCAGATCTGATGGTCCTGACTTGGACGCTTGACAATGCTGACTCATCCCAACTATCAAACAGGTCTGAAATCCCTACTAACATGGACGACATAAACTTGAGCAAGTAAATATGCAACGACCGGTTATATGGACTTAACCCGTTTTTTTGCTGACCCGCAGGTTAACCACCACCACAACATTGAGGAGACCATCTTCTTCCCCGCTGTGAAGGCCCGCTGCGGCGAGATCCCTGCTCGCATGTCCACCGAGCACGAGGGGCTAATTCAAATGCTGCAAGATATCAGTTCCATGGAGGTGCGTTTCAAGCCGCTCACGGAGGGATCCCCCGAGCTGCCGCTGAGTGAGAGGCGAGTTTTGGCAGAGGAGCTCAGGCAAAAGGTCGCCCACATGGCGGCGGAACTGAGGGAGCACCTCGACGAGGAGGAGCGCTTCTTTACCCCCGTGGTCAAGGAACATTTTACCAAGGAGGAGCATCAGCAGGTGGGTTTGTTCGAACAACCTAACTGGCTGTGAAGAAGAAGAAGAAAAGAAGGGAGAGTGATTGACTACATCCGGCTCCTCTGATTGGCAGTACGCTATCAAAAGGTTGTTCAAGCAGAGATCATACGTTCCTGTCAAGAGTGGTCGTAAACAGGCCCCCGTGTATAGCCCGCGTTTAGCAATGAGCTGATACCAGGATTGGGGATTCGTGTTCGGGTGTTTCCGCATTCTCACTTGGTTCGAATATGACCATGCGTTCATCTCTGTCCAGCAGTGCTTTGCGTCAATCTTAGGGTCTGGGTGTTTCTGCATTTTCAATTGGTTCGACATGACCTCATGGTCCATCTTTGTCCGCCCGTGCTTTAGATCAGTAATTTTGCTGCCATGTTGGCTACCATCAACAAACGGCAGGCGCCGGAGACAAACCACTGGTCGAGCCGGTGACGCACGGAAGATCTTTGGAAGACCTCGGTCAAGGTTTTCGTTTCCTCTCTTTGCCCTCTCCCACCCTCTCCCGACCACTCGTGCAGTTAGTCGCTCAGGTCATCAAGGCCCACGGCCTGAGCGGGAATGTCAAGATGTGCCCCTGGGTCGTTCACTCCATGTACAAGTGGGCGGGCAAAGACTACGTCGAAAAGGAGTTCCGGCCGGGCATGCCGGCGCCCGTCAGATTCCTCCTCGACTACTTCTGGTGAGTCGTTCCTTCTCGACTGCTTAGGGTTCGTTTTCAACCACTCCCGAGCTTTTCTCGATACTACTGCAAGTGGTTCCCCTGGCACGCATTGGGCAGAAACGGCGTGCTCGCGAGCAGAACTCGACAGCTGCCCAAAGACAGCTGTCGGAGTGTTCTTCCCAAACCTGCTTGGATACGGTGAAGAAAGGTCCGGCTGTGTCTGTGAGTTTCATCGTCAGTACGGAGACGCTGGACAGGTCTTCCTAAGCAAACGCACAGGAGATTGATCGCTGTCACCAGAGCGCACATCTACCGTCATGAGCTCAGTCAAATCGTCGGGGACAGCTGTCAGGTCGTGTAAGTGCCACGTGTCCGGCTGGTACCACGTGCCGTTTTCATTGTCACCGCCTGTACTAGGCCGCTTCGAACACGTCAAATGACTCTGGCGCTCGAAGCTATCAACGCATCCTGCAACTTGAGTGCGGAAAGACACGACGTTCCGATTTGTTATTGGAACACGTTCTGACGGAGGGGTAAAAGCATTCAGGCACATTATCGACAGCGCTTCTTCATAGTTTTCGAATTTTTTGATGATTTTATTTTGCCGCCTGACCAGATTAAGTTCAAGCTACAAGGAACTTGAGCCGTTCGATTACCCTGATGCGGCCACCAGAAGGTGCCAATTCAGTGGTCCGCTTAAATCGACTTACAAGTACCCACGTTTGACTTACCTAACTTGCATTTTACGCAGCCTGGGGCTCGGCAGTTGGAGGCGCCTTTGAGTTAGCAACTCGCCTCTTGGAGGCTTAAGAAGTCAGCAACGACCAGACTTCCATTGCGAGAACCCCAAGTAGTAAATGAAGTCAGGTACCCTGTCCGGTCAATTCGTTGGCTTCGTTGGAAATCACCGCGTCGTCTGCAGGTATCCGGCGTATGTCAAGCACGGAGTGCACGACCTGGACGTGTTGAAGCTCGAAGCCGACCCCAAGACGAGCGCTGGAAAGGTTTTCTGGAGTTTCGGGGGATGATCTTTTCTGAGTTGGTGCGTTTGGTGGAACATTGTGCTCGGGGTGCTCCGAACTGGGTGGTGGGATTCTAGGATTTTGAGGATTATGTGTTGTGGCTATGTTACGTGTCTCAGTGTGACATTATGCAGTAGGACACAGCGTTATTTATTTGACAGATGTATATGAAGCTTATGGCAGGCGGCCTGCGTTTGGATAGGTTGTTCATTCTTTCTGGAGCCTTGACCCTCCTTGTGGGAAGAAATATTGGTTTGAGAGATTAGTAGATGTAGGTGGTTAGACTTTAGACTTGCGGGCTTGTTTGAAACCAGTAGAAAGGCTTAGCGATCTAGACTTGAGTGGCTAAGGGGCCGTCAAAGGTATAAGTGAATAGAGCAGATTTGAGACATATGTGCGTATACTGTGTATGGTTGACAGTGTCAAGATTGACACTGAGTCTTTCCTTCTTTGCAACCTTGATTGTGTATATATTCTGTCGTTCGCATGATGATGCCCCGTCACGTGTAATGAGAGGCCCACGTTCAATTCCGTGCATGCGAGATTCTCAAGTCTTAATCCTAAAATAAGCTGTTATGTTCTGCGTTTCCACTTGACCTCCGTCACTAGCTTCAGAACTGCTCTGTGTTGAGATGCAAAAGTACGAGATTGATTGTTTCGAATTCTAGCTGTTCAAGTAACTACATCGTCATGGAATCAACTTGAAAGGTTGCAAAGCTTTGCATGAATCCGACATACTCAAAGCTATCCTTTCGAACAGGCACTGCCCTCTTGCCACGTGCATGCATGAGCTGGACTCAGGGTGCGCGGTTCTAAATCATGCATTGCCAGGGTTTTCGCTGCAGTACGTCGCTTGTGTTGAAGCAGATCAACCGTCTACAGGCGTTTGACTGACCGGCCAGCTGCCACACAACGTACGCGTACGTGGAAAGTAACAATCATGTGCGGATTGCACCGTCGCCCCGATGCATTTGTTTCCGGGCCCACTGAGTCGGGTGGTATGGGAGCCTTGCACGGTATTGGGTATGCCTGGCGTTGAAAGACGATAAACGGACTCATCGGTTTCCGAACCCCAGACTGCAATATGTTCTATGAGAGTCAGGCTCGCGTTATCACTCGACCAGCGGCGAGACACTTATTATTCTCCAAATCAACGTCAGAAAGTGGTCCTCTTTCTGTGGAAGGGTGCCAGCAAACGCACACGTAGAGCTGCTCCAACACCGGCACCTTGGCGGAACACCATTTGAATCAGGGCGATTGATACTTTATGCTGGGAGTGAGTCGATGTTCTCGATCGATTACTTGTTCGGCCTTTTATTCTCTAGCGTGCCACGTCAGCGGGTGCGGCGGCGGGCGGCGGCGGCACCGCGCTTTCGAAGCGCGGCCGCGCGGCCCGCCTGAAGCCGCGTCGCGGCCGCGCACACCGTCTCTAAGCCTACGCCAGCGAAGCCCGCGGGAGCAAGTCCGCACCATATGAACAAACGACGTACCGTCTGTCTAGAGTGCGTTTGGAGAAGATTGCAAATTGGCTCAGCAATAATGGGGCGCCTTCCGAGCGAGTTGGTTGTGTGCATTCTGCTAAGATTGGCGGTGCAGGACCCTCTCTCCCTTCTGCGCGCCACGTGCGCCTGCAAGTCCTGGCTTCGCTTAGTCAGGGAAAACCAAGACGTCTGGAAGACAGCTTTCCTTGCTCCAGAGCCAGGTGATGCGTTTGTCTCCGAGCAGGGTGAACAAAAAGGAGTCGATTATCTGAAAGTTGAAGGCAACGCTGAACTAGACGAAGAAGTCGTTTCGCTGGGGGGATATGCACAGCTAGTTCTGGTAAAATATAGACACAGGACGTCGAAAGAGCCAGGCTGGTTTGATGTTGAACAAAACCGGCTCAGCAGCAATGGTGATTCTGGGAACCGCGCGTCCTCTAGTTGGAAGATGGGAGACTTCAAAAATGCCCACGTGGCTCGTTTCTTGGTCATCTATAGGCTGAGGGGAGGAATCCTGGGCTGGAGAGCTCAGACCCCTCGGCAGGGATCGCCAATGAGGGATGTTAAAACTATCCTAAGCAAACCATTCAGGCGGAGGCCTTCACTCATGTTTGTAGGCTTTTCGACCCCGAAGCGCCTTCTCGCCTAAGCAAAGGCATCACGTCGCAAAGGGTTCTGATTAAGAGGTGGGCGGAAGTAAGAGCTTTGCATGATAGCGCGCGCGCGGGGAGCAGACGCGCAGGTGACACAGACATCACGACAGAGACTTACGCTTTTCTCGAACCCCTTATCGAGTGCCCGCGACGGGTGTCGTCGATTGAGGGGAAGCGCTGGATTTGGACACTTGACAAAAGTTTGTTCGAAGAAGTCGGATACAAACCTCCGGAATGCGAAGGCAGAGTCTTTATTGTTTCGCAGGAATTCCGCACCGAATCAGCTCAAAGCGGCCTCCAGATGTCCACTACTGATGAGCCTGCTGGCAGCCAAAGCTGGCGTGCATGGTTTACCACGGGGTTAGCGAGACTTAGCTACTTGACGCAGTGGTTTGGGCGGCCTGGAAAATGAAACTTGACCCTCGGATAGCTTACGGCTGGTCGATAATACTCTTGGGCTGTTTGATCATGATGTTTGATGTTTGATCAGCATCTTTTTGCGGGAATGGTTCTGTTCAGTGTTCGTGTTTGTGTGTCATTAAAGAATAGGTGCGCAAATGGTTCTTGCAGACAGGTCCTGATGTCTTGCTACTTTCGGTGGTGGCACGTATTATATGTCAAAACGAATCCGCCACCAAACATACCATGTTTAAGTAGGAACAAGTACTGTACCTCTGAAATCCCCTCACATTTTGCGTAACAGCGAGGAACCCATCCCAAGACATGTATGTTACGAACACCTTCCTCTCTGCTCGTATCAATTGTAGCCGTTGCTCATAGTTGTGATACATCTCACTCAGTATTGATGCGCTGCAAACGCAGACACAATCAATCGGCGACACATGAAGTACTGTGGCAGATCTTGTTATTTTGATGTGGCGAGGGCCTCCCATCTGTGTGATCGTAAGCCGATTAGTGAATGCATAATATGTGTACGTGTCCCAATTGCAGGCAGGGTGGCCTTTCGCAATCAGGAAGGCAAAGGCATTGCTTCCATGGAGTTCAAAATACTTAGCTCGAAGTCATGGGCGAGACGCCATGTTCACAGGGAGATTTCATGTTCGCACAGCCGTTTGATTGCCTGGTGATCGGCGGCCTTCGAGGCCGGATTCCGCGGCGCCTTCTTACATCGTTAATCCTTTCGCATGCGGGGTGCAACGTCCCGGCACTTGCTTAGGATACATACTGTGGGATCGACTGTGTCTGATTGTTATATGGCGCGTCGTGCTGATTGGAACTTAGTGTTTGCACCTCTCTTTTGTCCGAAAGTTTGCGTACGCTTGAACTGTGCGAAAGATGTAGCAGCAACGGATTCAAACGACGGCGAAGGACTTGCAAGCGAACGTGGCGCGCAGAAACGAGAACGGGCCGTACGTGCAGTGCCAGATTGGTGCCAGATTCTGCAGAATGTGGGCAACTAGCTCGCTCGGAAGGCGATCATCTATTGGTATGAGCTTATGTGAGGCAAAGTTGCAGGTGTCCCAGACGATAAACGTGAAACCGTTTGTTCAAAAAACAAAGGCTATCTAGCAAATCGCCGTTCGATCAGAGCGTAAAACCCAATAGTGGGTACGCGGCAGCGCGCTTGAAGTCGCGCCAGGCCCGCGCGGCGGTCACGATGGCGGCCGGGCAGCGCGGCCGGCACTTAGGGCTCGATGTCGATCGATGTCGCGCAGCGGCCGCCTTAACGCGCAGTGTCGCGGCCGCGGACCGCCTCAAAGCGCCGGTGAAAGAATCTGCGCGGAGCGGTTGCTGCAACTCGAGATCCTGGCCATCGCACTAGTCAGGGTGGCTGGACTCTCAAGCTGGAGTCTAAGGTGCAACGTCCTCGGTTTTTGTTCACGGGACAACCAACCCGGCAAACTCAAACGCTGCCTCTTTCAGATTGCCTCTATCGACCGCGGCCTGCAGGTTCTCCACAATATCGTAGTTCGGCAATGGAGCGCCTTCCGAGTGAGCTGCTTGTGTGCGTTATTCTAAGACTGGCGGCGCAGGACCCCCCCTCGCTTGCGCGCGCCGCGTTTGCCTGCAAGTCCTTGCTCCGGTTGGTGAAGGATAACAAACACATCTGGAAGGCGGCTTTCCTTGCCCCAGAGGGGGGTGAGGCTCTTTCCTTTGAGCAGGATGAACAAAACGCAATTGGACTTTTGGAGGCTGAACTAGACGCTGAGGTCGCGTCGCTAGGCGGGTATGCGCAGCTAGCGGTGGTCAGATCCAGACACAAGACGTCGAAATTGAAGCCAAGTTGGTCAGGTCTTGAACAAACCCGGTTTCGGAGGAGGTTAAAATTCGGCGCTTTCAGTGATCGCGCACCCTCCAGAGAGCATGAAGACCACGTGGCGCATTACCTAATCATCTGCAGGTTGAAGGGAAGACTCTTGGGCTGGAGCGCTCACACCCCTTGGCACGGATCGGCCTTGCAAAATGCAACGACCATCCTTCCGAACGAACCGTTCGTCGAGCCTACACGCGTCACCGTACGATTTGAGACTGCTCAAGCTGCTGGCTGGGCAATTGGCACCACAAAACGGGCTTTGGTTGAGTGGTGGGCGCATTTAATAGCTTTGGATGGTTCGCTCTCAGGAAGCGAATGCGCGGGCATTACAACCGAGACCTACGCTTTCCTCGCACCCATCAACAGGCGTCCGGGACGGGTGTTGTCGATAGAGGGGAAGCCGTGGACTTTGCTCCTCGACGCAAGCTTGTGTACAGACGTTGGATACGAACCTCCGGGATGCGGAGGGAGGGCCTTTGTTATATCTCAAGAGCCCCGCACCAAAACAGCGGAATGCGACCTTCAGAAGTCTACTTTCGTGGTCGTGAGTGAACAGATCAGCGAAGCGCTTGCATGGGCTACCCCGACGGTAGCGCTGACAATCTCGTTGCTAGTTGGAGTAGCTTGGATTGCCTCGAAGTACAAGAAGTCGAAGGTTTTCTCTTTTTGATGAGCAAATTGGACACGATCTTTTGATAAATTCTTTGGTACTCTCGAAAGCAAATAAATCAAGTTTAATCTCTTCGCGCCTGTGCACAGGTGTCCTCCAAAGCCGACTGGAACGGACTTGGCCCTTGCAAATTAGTTTCGACGTTGATCAGATACTGCTAAACGAAATAGCAGACTACACCTAGCTTCTTCGCGGTCAGTATTCTCACCACCAGCGTTTACATTGAAACTAATTAGAACCTTATAGGAGCTCCGGCCTCTCACATGTGCAGTTCCCTTATATTCCTGGCCAGCATGACCCAGTACACAGAGTACGATTGTACAGTGCGCTTGTCGTGGCCTATATGCATGTTTTGTAAAGCGTTCCGACGATACAAGCCTGAAGCTGTCGTGCACTTCATGGCAATTGCACATGCTGTGGGCGCACCGTCTAGCCACGTGTAGTCGACCGTTTGTCTGCGGTCACTAAGTTATAGTATCCTAGATTGCAACGTGAGATTGAAGCTGGTCATCGATCAAAGCATCGTGAAGCAGCTTGACAAGTCTCCGTGGGCCTGGACAATCGATGGACATATTGAGTCCTGATTGTGGCGCTAAGATCAAGCACCGCGATTATAAGTCGTGATATGCATGCATAGAAAGATCTCAAACGATCTTGATATTAGTTCGGCCGACATAATCGGGATTACAGGGTAATCGGGAAAGCCTACGATCAAGAATTTGCGCAGTACGTGCTTTGCGAGCTCTCTGTCAGCTCCATGAAAAGGAAGCTCTCTTGTCTTCTTCAATCAACATATACAAAATCGTCGCATGTGCGTGCAGCTTAGTGTACGTGACCGTCAGTCCCTCACTTCATCGAAATCCGAAACCCTCAACATTTGAGTAGCATATTCAATAAGATCTTGAGCGCCGCGCTAAAGCTCCCAATCTTCCCACCGACGCACTCCTGATACAGCGCAAACGTCTGCGACTTGACGTCGCACAAGAGCGCTTTTTCACACTCCGCGTCGCACGTCCACGGCCGTCCGGCCGCGCGGCGGTGTAAATACGCCCCCAGGAGCCCGGGCTCGCTCTCCAGCCGCTGCAGCAGAGCGTGCCAGCTTTTGGGCGACATGGAAGGCAGGTTGTAGGCTGAGCGGGCGCCGTACTCGAGCGTCCAGAGGGAGCCGTTCCGGTCGTGGTTGGCGGAGTCGAGGTCGAAACTGGAAAAGCGGAAACGGAGTCATTAGCAAGGGCAGATATGGGACCTTGCTCTCTCGAACATTTGCAACTGTTATACGTCATGGCAGATTTCCCACGCCGCTTGTCGCGGTGGCGAACCGTGTCCCCTCAATTCGCACCTGGCCGTGGTACGGGCCTGCCGGCAAGTGACAGCTATGAAAGAAAAATGGGCGAACAAAAAGACAATCACGATGCGATAGACAGCGTCCGTCGAAAAGTTTCCAACCGTGTGAGGCGGGATGCCAACATTCTGGATTATGCCAAATAATAATTGGGTAAAACGACGACCAGGATACGCCGAGTTGCAAAATCAGAGTCCGAGCCCTATGCCGGCTTCTGAGGCGGGTGAGAAACAAAATAAGCCGGGAGAAGTCCTTAAACGAAATCCTCTCGGCCAGTCAGCACGCAGCAACGTGTTCCCACGGTATGCTTCAACGCAGGAAACCGCCCACGGTTCCTACGGACAAGCTCTGTTTTGACAAGAAGAGAAGGACGGAGCGCTTACATGTACTGCTTGTAGTCGTCGAGGATCGCGTTGGCGGCCGTTCCGTGGATGGGCCGGCGGTAGTCGAACACACGGAAGGACGGATTCCGGCCGGTGTAGGGGGTGACGGAAGGGGACACAAGACCGACCGCGATGGGGTCTGCAGCGTCAAGTCAGGAACTTACGTAAGCCGTGCGTATTCAAGTGACATTATCACAAGACGAGCGCAAAGGTGGGCGAAGAAAAACGAAAGCCTACGAGGGTACTTCGGTCAACTAAGCTGCTAGCATCCATGGAAGGAGTCTGTGAAGCACAAGGCAAGTGTCTGGACAATCCGAAAGACGGGAAAGAGATCGAATCCTTCGCAGAAATTTGCTACGCCAGCATGAGCTTCGGGAAAACAGCGATTCTCAAAATCTTTGCAGAACTCTACTTGTCAGGACGTCCCCGTACGGACTCCGATTGACGGCCTGCCGCCGCCGTGTGCCCGCCAACGGAAAGCGAACGGAAAAGGAGCCAGAAAGAACGGAAAAGTAACGCGCTGACGTCACCTGTGAGCGTCGCGGCGTCATAGTACAGCTTGAAGCTGTCCGAGTGCGTGTGTCCGAAGATCTGTGCGGACACCGTGTTCCGGAACCGGTCCAAGATGAGCGAGTACCGCTGGCTGTAGCTGACGTAGCACGCGTCGGCGCCAATCGGGATGTGGCCCTGCGCGAGCAGAGCAGGTGACGTCACGGGTAACGTCATGAAGAGGAGTCTGCAACCGGGTTACATATGCAGAGTGCGGAAAGCGCGACTCGTCGCTCATTGAGTTCCTCAACGTGTGACTTTCTGCGAACCCGCCCCCGACTTTGGGACGTTTGCACGGATAGCAGCACCAATTGAGCTTGCCTGATTCCTACAAGGTCGCCGCAGAAACTCACCAAGTCTACTCTAAAGCTCTAGCCCTCATTCGAAGATGTGGTGGGCTTTGGAAACGGTCAAGAAGCCTAACCGAGCGCCCTTTACAAATCCAAGCGTTCCCCCAAGACTCCAAAACTCTGGCCATTCCCCGCAGCGAACGAAAGAAGATGAACAAAGACAGTAAAAGAAGTTCCGGCCGCTTACCAGGATGATCACACGTTCGGACGCGGCTTCAGCGTCCGCAAGCACGCGCAGCAGCCACTCCAGCTGTCCGGCGGGGTCCGGCTCGGACGTGTGCGCGAGCAGCCAGAAGTTGAACGTGTCGCAGTACCTGCCCAGAATGCGGTTGACGTCAGTTCAACGCCTCTGCTGACGGTCTTTCTGTACCCGGGCTTGGCGGCGGAAAAAGGTCTGCGGCGATGGCTCACAGGGGTTTCGTTGCTTTCGAAACGACGTCGTAAGAATTAGCGAAAGACATCGCACTTCGAGACGTTGACCAGTTGCCGTCAAAAGTCGGAAAGTCGAGAAAAAGAAGCCGTGCTTGCGGACGCGATTCCTTTCCAGCCGCCTCGATCATCAGAAGACCAGACGTCGCTCCAGATGGGCCGACAAATGGCAGTTGGAGAAGCAAAAGTTCTCTTGCGTGATCTCGCTCCAGAATCGCACTTTTTTTTAGCAGAAGAATCTGCTCACTGCGTATTGAGGCCCACAATCCGCAGGCCCGGCTCGTGCAATAGCGTATAGTAGCCCCCTTTTCGGACGGTCACCTCCGCGTCCGCCGGCAGCCACCGCTTCCAGAGGCGCCAGCTGGCGTCCATCAGCCAGCTCTGGGCGGGGGGGTCCGGGAACTGCAGAAAGGAACCCCCTGATCTGCTTTCCGTCCAGATTTGCAGACACAAGAAGAAGCGGAAAGGAGGGCGAAATTACGAGGTGATTGACACCCCAAGGTGACGGCAGTCTTTGGTGGCTTGTGCTAAGACCAGTCTTTGCGGACTAGCCTGCAGGCAGGAAAGTTGACGCCTTTTCAGCGCCTGAGAGTCTTTGCAATTATTATTGCTGAAGCAAGTGCGGATTCGAAGGCCTTCCGATCCCTAAAACGAACGCTTTTCTCGCCGCAACCTATGTCTTGGAAATCCATTTCCTGGAGACTTGCTCATTCCAACACTGCCTTGACCTTCGACCGCCGGGCGTCCCAGACATCCTTACTTCAGAAACCGGACGGTCGCCAAACGAGTCTCTTCGACAAGCTCTGAAGGTCCAGAAAGGCAGAAGCTCCTGCGCTTTTGGGCAGGCCGGAAGCACCAAAACCGCCTCACCGAATCTACCGGAACGCCAGCATGGTTCCCCAGAACTGGGTACAGAGGCACGCCCTTGAGGGCGACCGCCAGCCTGTCGTATACGGTCTCCATGGCCGCCAGCGTCTTCACCCGGGACTCTGCAGGGGTAGCCTATATGTTTTACGCCATCCGTTACGTCTCTACTCATGTGCACAGTCGGGGGCTAGAGTCGTATCAATCAGCTTCTGAAGATGAAAGACCAATCTTGGTCCCCTTCATTTTACAAACGTCTCAGAGTACAGCTGAGAACGTTCCGGAGTCTCTCCATTTGGGGAGCTTTCCACTTGATCAAAGGAAATCTCTCACCAATGAAAGAAGCCCCTGAGACTTAAGAGCTGGAAGCCCTTCAATCTCGCACCCAGAAGCTGACACGTCAAAACGGCAACTAGGCACCTCTGAGGCATCAAAAGATAAAGTCCCCATCTCCAACGTGGTCAAATCGCTGACCCAACATTCCACCTACTGACCCAGAAAGAGATCACACAAAGCCTCTAAGCTCCCCCCCAAGTAGCAGATCCCCAAGGTCGAAAATCCCCAGGGAGACCAGATCCCTCAACTTTCCAAATCACAAATTGTCATACACAACCCACAAGCGCTTGCGGAAGCGTCTCACCTTCCCAGACGTCGTGCGGAGGCACGTCCCCGGTGAAGACCGCAAAGTCTAGCTTCGGAAGCTCCTTCGAGCTCCCGATGAACATTGCGAGGGAGTCGAACAACGCGGGCGCAGCATCGCAGCGGTAGTCGCCAAAAGGCCCTGCTGCGGACGTGTTGGACGCCGCCGGACCGTCCTCCTTTCGACAGCAGAGCGGCCGTCCGCACGCCACCTGGCAGGCACGGAAAGAGGTTTATATGGAAAACATGCCAGCTGGCAAGCAGAGAAAGGGGTTGACTTTTGAAGAGATGGACAAGGGCCAAGAAATTCTGGAACTATTGAGGAAAGGACTTTTGGAGTATTGAGAATCTTGTATTGGTACATGGCAAGGAGACGTTCGTAAGCTTGTGTTCTGATTATGAGAATACCGCGTTCTATACATGACGTACTGGTCCTTTCGCTAACGTGACCACCGACGTGCATATCGGACTGCGTCGAGTCTACTGAGGAATCCCTGCAGAGGAGGTTTGTGTCGCTTTCTTCTGATCATGCATAAAAGACAATATAGCACGGGTTGAGTTCAAATATAAGATTGCCACCATTGCTCAAGGCAACAGGCATACAAACGAATGGAAGCTTGACAACAAAGAAAGCAAAGATTTGTTGGGGAAGCCCACCTCCGAGCCTTCCACATACTCCAAATCCAGGTGAATATCTGTCAACTGCAGAAAGTGTCCCAGGGCTTGTTCCTGCTGTTCCACAGACACGCTCTCGCCCTCGTGGCTGGACCGCTTCCGTTGCTGGACGGTTTCGGACGTCCTTTCCCTATATTGGACGTCCAGACTTTCTCCTGGCCTTCGTATCCTGCGGTCGCCCCCACGCCCATCACTATCCTCTGTACTAGCCTCGCCTTCATCACTCACTCTTAGTGCATCTTCCGTTTTGCCTCTTCGAACACTCTCGCTTCCACTTCTTGACGTCACACACTCGCCCCCTTTGCCCATTACGCTCCCCATCTCTGATACTTTCCCGCCACCCCACTGATCTTCAGCGCACACTTCTCCTGAGCCCAGCTCTCTCAACAAAGCCAACCCCTTTTCAGATTGAGACACCAGTCCCCGCAGGGCCCCCCAAGAAAGGGTGGCATTGCAGGGTATCTCGGTCGGAGCTCGCCCCGAATTACGTGGGCAGTAGTGGAAGACTTCAGCGCACACATGGTGGGGGTCGAGCAGGCGGCGGGCGAGCACGGTGATCACCTCCGGGCCAAACTCTTGCACGATGCCATCGCACTGCAGAGGATGAAGGTGACCATGATTCCGCCGGGTTGAAAAACGGGGTTGAAAAAGGTAGGGGAAGATGTTGGGGAAATCATAGTGGAAAGTCAAGCAGGTGGCGGGCGAGCATGTGATGACTTCGGGGCCAAACTCTTGCATGATGCCATCGCAGTGGGGACGATCAAAGTTGGACCAACAGTGGCTTGTGTGAGGGAATCCGTTCTGTAATTCTCATCTCCTTCGATTGCGTTACGCGAATCTGTTTGAGGACAAGCCTTTGAAGCTTTACATGGGGTCTGCTGTCTGCTGATTGGGGAGATTGTATCTTCTGACGGGGAGGGGCCGCCTCACCACATCGTCCTTTTGCAGCTTCAGTTCTTTGCATAGCCCGCCAATCGCCTGCTCGGCAGCGTCCGTTCCCTTTTCAACGCGCGCCCGGTACTTGTTCACCGCCCGTTTGCAGAAGAAACACTCCAGGTTGAACGCTCCCAAGTCCCCTGCATTTGGAGGCACCTGACTATTGTCCAAATTGTGCCGGGAAGGAATCTGAGCAGATTGTAGCTGGCTGACAGGATGTTTGACAATCAGCGCAAGCGCAGGGACTGTAAGATGTGTCACAATGAGCAGGGGCAGAAGAAAAACTTTATGACAAGGCATGGTTGCCCGCTTTTGCAAGCTGCAGCTCCTTCGTTCGTCTCTCAGAGTTGAGCAGTTTTTGCCCGAGCACGCTGCCAGCTGAGGCTGCCAGGCTGAGCAAGCACAAGCAGGCAAAGAAATTGGTGATACGCCGACGCTCTAGTTGACGTACGGCAGATTGCCGGTTTTCGAATCGGGCGGAAAGAGTAGGACATTCATGCCGGTCCCTTGGAGCCGTCTGCTAATGGTTGCCAGCCAATGGACCATTCCCACCGTCCCAGGCTGGTGATCCGACGTAAGCGAAGGGGATCACCCAAGAATCAACATTCCTCGCTAGATCATGCAACTTGTCCGTTCAAGATTCTGCAGCTTCAACTTCAAGTTCCCTCTAGGCTCTCCCTTGAACAGGTTTGAAATCTTTCTTTGGGCGTTCAGGGATGGGCCTCTCCGCCCTTCTCGTGCGGGGCGCCGCCAGCCGGTTCGAGGCAGAATGCAAGCAGATCCTGGACACGGGGGATGCTGATGTGAAGTATAACATCGACGGGTGGACCGCCCTCCAATGTGCTGCGTCTTCCGGCCATTTAGGAGTTTGCAAATTGCTCTTGGAGCATGGGGCTCCAGTAAATTGCATAACAGCAAACGGAGGGACTGCACTTCTTCGGGCGGCTGCTTCGGGGCATGCAAACATTTGCAGCTTGCTTCTAGAGCATGGTGCGGATATGGGTCCGGCGGTAAACGGATGGAGCGCGCTCCAGCGAGCTGCCGGCTTTTCGGGCATCCTGAAGTGTGCAAGTTGCTCCTAGAACACGGGGCAGATGCAAAATCTGGAACGGATGCAACATTTGGAGCAGATGCACAATTCGCGCTTGAGCGAGCTGTCGCTTGCGACCAGGAAGCCACTTGTAGAGTGCTCCTAGCACATGGCGCAGACGCGAACGGTGGGCACGGGAAACCGCTGCTCTGGCAGGCAGCCCTGTCGGGGCATGCGGAGATCTGCGAACTGTTGATAGATGGCGGAGCAGATGTGAACCACGAGGAGGGCGGCCACACGGTTCTCATGATGGCATGCTATTCCGGCGACGAGAAGGTGTGCGGCGTGCTGTTGCAAAAGGGCGCGGATGTCGACTTGGTGGCTGGCGGGTGGAGTGCGCTCATGGTTGCGGCGAGGGGTGGTAAGGTCAAGATCTGCGAAATGCTTCTCGCGAACGGGGCAGAAGTGAATCTTGCACTGCCGTGCAAGGGCATGATGGATGGAGGAAGATGTCGGGGGCATGTGACCGCGCTTGGATTCGCTGCGAGCAGAGGGGACCCTGTAACATGTAAGGTGCTGCTCGAAGCTGGTGCAGAGGTAGACGATGAGACGTTTGGAAGGACCGCACTCATGCTGGCGGCAGCGTTGGGGCACACGGAAGTCTGCGCGGTCTTGTTGGAGCATGGTGCAGATGTGAATGCTGTGCTCGGAGGGGCGACTGCACTCATACACGCGGCGGAGGAAGACAAGGCCGAGATGTGCGAGTGGCTTGTGAGGAAAGGGGCAGATGTGGACCAGATTGCGAATGAAAGGACGGCGCTCATGGAAGCCGTCCGATGGGACAGGGCTAAGACATGCGCGGTCTTGGTGAAAAGTGGGGCAGATATAGATCTTGCGATAAGTGAGGAAACAGCGCTCGATTGGGCCGTACAATGTGGAGCAGAAAACTGTTGCAAGGTCTTGATGGACCAGGGGGCTTGCTACTCGCGGGTGATGATCTCCTCGTGTAACTCGGAAGAGCTTTGCGAAGATGAGTCTAGCTTGAGATGTCTAGAAATGATTGCGATGCACGATCGCTTTGAACCCGAGTCCGTGCCGTGCGGGCGGCTCTTGAGAAACATGCTGAGACAACGACGGGAATGGTTGGATCTGCCTGGTCAAGTGCGCGAGCTCCTTGTGGGTGTGGCACTCAATGCGAGGACATATGTAAGTGAGACCACAGAACCACCAGTAAAAAGGCAACGAACTTAGCTAGCATCTAGAGGTCACGTCGATTACAGTTGCCCCCCGCTTGATCGAGTGCTCCCGTACTAGCTGGGCTCTACATTGACCATGCCATTGCATGGGACCTCGTATCCTACAATTGGATTGCTTCTATGATGGAATACTTAATAATATGCGTATCTGCATGCCAGCTTTGATGCAGCACATGCGAGTTCAACACATATCTGGCTAGAGCTATACCGGCAATATTGCATAAAATGTTATCCAGAGCATGGTAACTTTGCAAGGACTCGGCCCAATTCAGAATCTGCATGAACGGACCCCTGCATCCAGCTAGACGCAAACATGACCTCATCATGGCATACCTTAGATCAAGTCGAATTGTTACTTACATGCAAGTCCACTCCAACTTGCATGTTGGAGTGACTCACTTCAAGCTCGCCGGCTACGTACGTTGGGGACCCAAGAATTTTCACATCCGCTAGGAGAGCGGCTTAGCTTAACAATCTGGAAGACAATCAATTAAGGATTCAGCTCTTGGATATATCATCTACCGATCAGTAGTCCCATGCAAACAGTTACAGCAAGGCCGGATCCCGTCCCCTAGCTAAGTATCCGTTGTAGTGTCCATGCGCCGGACAAGCTGTCACGGTTTTACACTCTCAGGCCAGCGAATGGGCTGTCGTAACATGTCTCATGCAAGAATCACATTCGACAAGAGTGCATGCCTACGCATGTGTCTCATGATTTCAACATCAGCCGTATGCGACGCCACACGATGTTGGAACACGTGAATACTGTCCTGCGCTGAAACACAGCGGCCGTTACCTGAACGGAGAATCTCTGATCCTGGCCTTTTAAGGGTAGGTACCTTATCATGTTTCGAACCCAAGCGAGCATATTAGAAACCCTATTGCAAGGTTTGTCATAGGTACAGCTGGATGAGCTCATCACTGACGGCGGAAGGCGTCAGAACGCCTAGATCCGTGAAAAGCAGCGTTAGACAAGAAGGGGGCGTGTAGTCTCGGGACGGGTTGTCGACCTTCATGTTGGGCGGCAGCGGCTCGGCAAAGGTGACGGGCTTTGGATCGTAGGGCAGATCTCGTTGATCCAACGGGTACAGCCGCGCAAACTGCACGTCCAACACGCGCCTGTGTTTGGATCCAGGGAACCTCGACCTCCGGACAACGAAACGGGTCTCGAGAACGGACTTGGTATTGATAGCCTCTTTCGGACTTGTTTGCCACCCCCCAAGACAACCAGCATCAGCATCGACTTGGCAAACGCGCGCACCATCCAGGCACCCTAAAATGAGCGACATTTACCAAACGGTAACTTATTAAGTCTCTGCAGCGACAAACACCGGCTTATTGAACGCGCGGGCCACTCTGGCGTGCTATGATCTCAAAAACGAAACATAGAGGGAATCACCAAACAAAAAAGAGATTCGCGGAAACTGTACAGCGGTTTACAAGAGGCCCCGCTTACGCACCTTGTAACTCTCTACAGCGACGTAAACCGGCTTATTGAAAGCTCGCGTCACCCAAACTTCTTCGCGTCTGAATAAACATTAGCAAAATTCGTCGCAAGCACTTCAGAGACAAACATCAAAAAGGAGGCGTTCACAAAGCTTCCACGTATCGGAGCAAGCACGGCGCACATACCTTATAGCTCTCCGCGGCGACGTACACCGGCTTATTAAAAGCCCGCGCCACGACCGCGATCTGGTACGTGCCCAGGTTGTTGATGATGCCGCCGCTCTCGACCACGCCCTCCGCACCGCACAGCACCATGTCGACACGCTCCATGACGTAAGCAACGCCGGTGTCCAGGATCAGCGTCACCGGGATGCCGACAGCTGTCAGCTCGCGTGCCGTTTGGATGCCCTTGCCGTCCGGCCGGCCCTCTGGACAAAAGTTGACACTGTGTCAGCGTTGAGAAAAGCAATAAGCGAAGAGACATACGACTGTGTCAAATGTGGTCTCTGACGTAAGCAACGCCGGTGTCCAGGATCAGCGTCACCGGGATGCCGACACCTGTCCGCTCGCGTGCCGTCTGGATGCCCTTTCCGTTCGGCGCACCCTCTGAAAGAAGCATTGACACCGTCAAGAAAGAAACGCTGGCAGCGAACGACGACTCCGCTGCTAGCGTCAAACTTCTGCCGTTCAAGTTCGCTTGCCGTCGGTCCGTCTGTCTTTAAGAAGTAACAAACGACGAAGGTATCGACGCTCTTTGAGCAGTAAGAAGAATTTTCTCAAGAATGGTCTCTAGCGATCAGTGGCAACTACTTGGAAGTTCTTTTGCGTTGGGCCATCGTTTGAATCCTGCACTCAAGTTTAAGAGATGGCTGGGCAGCTTACAGGGGCGTTTCAGCATTTCCAGCAGCTTCCGGGTTGTCTCAATGCGCTCGTTCCTCTCATCCCTTCTTCCATAGGGGGATCCCGCAACTCGGCGCAGTGCGCGCCCTTCTTCTGGAGGATTGCTGCCGTTACAATGCTTGACGAGTATACCTCGAAGTGAGCATGAAGAAGCGAACACGGAAAACGAGAACCTACTTACACATGACTCGTCCCTTCGCTTGCAGCCGAGAAGTTTTCGTGTCCAGCTTCCCTCGCCTTCGTGACACAACGCAATGTTTGGCTCGTCCAGAACTTTCAGGCTCTTAACCTGGTAAACCGCACACGCTAAACCAAAAATCAACTAAAAAGTAAAAACGGAAACCAGACATAAACCCAATACTAAAAATAAAACCGAAAACAAGGGGGGGGAAATAACCATAAACTAACAGACAAGAAACCAAAAACGAATAACCGAAACCTGAGTAACTTTCAAATGGGCACACCTGGGCAGATGACGCTGAAGTGTTTCCCTTGCGACGCCGCCAGCTTGAGCAGCGACACCACGACCCTCGACACGCCGTGCGTCAGAATGGTGCACCCGTCCCGCACAAAGTCCGCGCCCACCTTGGAGATCGTTTGCCGCGCCTGCAGAAAGGGGCGACCTCCAACTCATCAAACCCTAGCGAGATGACGATAAGCCAAGATGCTAGTGAGGACCCTACAAACCGACTGATTCCGCTCACGTCAAACTGGGTAAAGGACGGACCTGTAAACGGACCAAGCGGACTACAAAGTATTACCTTGATTGAGTGCTCCAAGGAATCGCTGGCCGTCTATTAACGAGCTCCGGTTAAGAACACCACTTCAGATCTTGCGCCAAGAGGGTGCGGGAAGCACCCTACAGATTGGACAGAGAACACCTCGCCGTGGTAAAAAACCTCCGAAAACCATTCCCCCGCGGACTGGTTTTTCATGTCAGATTGGCGTGGGAGAACGCTACGGATTGACTGGTTTGAAGAATGTCAAAATGGGGAGGGAAGGACCCCACAGAATCGACCCACGCCGGGCTGAAAGGTCTCACCTTGATGAAGAACTCCGTGTTTCCCCCCAAAAAGCCCCAACAGGTTTGACAGAGTCGGCCTGAATAGTCTCACAAGGATCTCCAAGGAAGTGGTGCCTCCGCGGACAGAAGGTTCCACATCAAACTGGCATGAAAAGGATCCTATGAACTAATCGATACAGTTTTAGACGATCCCCGAAAGAACGACGTTACGAAAGGAAGCAAATCAGGCTGCAGAGTCTCACCTTAATGGAGATTTCCGAGAACTGTTCCCCCCGCTCGATGAGCCGCTCCTTCCCCGCGTTGATGTCCTCGTGCTCCAGTGCTGACGTCCGCGTGACAAAGCGCAGGAACAACTCGCAGCCCGCCGCAAGTGAGATGGACGACTTTTCTCGCTCCTGAAGCGACGGAAACGGAGTCATCTTCTGGCAGAGTGTTGACGAAGGACACACTTCTTCTCACCCACTTGCGGATGCGATTCTTGAAGGAACTATCAGGAATTGACAAGCTACCAAAAATGGATGACCAAACTTGGTTCTGGATTGGGAAGACGAAGAACGCTCCATGGATCTTGACTGGCGCGTAAGCTTCGACAATGTATGCTCTTTAGTTCTGATTCAAGTGCAGTGAATCCGCGCTCGTAGCGAAAAAGTTGACATGATCGCACAGATACCTGGAACCGCTCCTTCCGTTCCAAGTCTTTCTGGTGCCAGTATCTGATGAATGCCGGAAGTTAAGGGCGCCACAAAGACACAACTAGTGACGTCTGACAGGAATTGACACCCGAATGGACACGAACGTTGAAGGCTCACGCACGCTCGTCCAACCGGCTCACAACGAGCCTCAATGGGAACCCAAACGGCCAGCTTGACAGCATGTCAAGAGTCCAAGATTCTCGTGGTTCCGAAGACGCTTTCAGGTATCGCATATTGCCCCTTTGCCCCCAAGCAAACTATACGAACGTGAAGCCTATACCGAAGTTGCCGGGAAAACCAGCTACTCTGTTCAAGAGCTTGTTTTATAGTTGTGAGAGTCAACATAGTTGTGAGAGTCATTTGAGGAGCCGTGCCCCAGCCGCTGAACGAAAGACGAAGAGCATCAGAGAGCAGTTGCAGACAACCCTGAGGTGAACACCCTCAAACGCCTTCCTTCGTTTCGTTTCCAGTCCAGCGTTGCCGTGGGCTTGCTTTGCAGCGTTCACCGAGTTCTAACAGTAAAGCATACGCGGATCGCTCAGAGTGCATTCGAAGGGCCGACCTCTTCAACTCGCGAGCCTCCCTCTTGTAAGGGACAACATTCACTGCCGTTCAATATTCAGCACCCAAACAGAGTCCATGTTTGACGCGTGTCCAGAAATGTCCAGAATGTCTCCAAAAGATAGAGACTTTGTTCACATGCGTCCAAAACGTGTCCGATATTGTCCGCACAGGCGCTCACCTTGAGCTCCTCGGACGCCCTCTTGAGCTCGATCTCGAGGCCCATCATGGTGGTCGCTTTGCTCCGTTTGATGACAGCTGTCAGCGCCTTAATGGCCGCCACCGCCACCGCCAGGTCCGGCTTCCCCCGCCAGTAGTCAAAGTCTTCCACCACGCTCATGTTGGCCGTTTCTCGTGTGTCTCGGAGATCGCCAGTCAACCGGTGCGCACGCACCGAGGGCCGCTCCTCTGTAGAAACGCAGGGTTTGAGGTTCGACTCACTTAACCGAGATACTGGGGATCGACAATCAACGTCTTCTACAGAATCATGTTGGCCGTTTCCCGTGTGTCTCAGAGAGTGCCGGTCAACCGGTGCGCACGAACCGAGGGCCGCTCCTCTGTAAAAAGGCGGGTTTCAACATCACTCAAACGCCCCTTGTTAAGCGCTTTCCTGGGCCTTAGTGGTGGCCGGTCGACATTTAAAAGTCCTGTACTAAACTCCATGTGAACCATCTTTCTCATGTTCCATAAATTATGGTTACGGGGTGCGTCCAAGCAGATGGATGATTTCTTCAAGGAAGGACGAAAGACTCCATGCTCTGTCAGGCGCGTAACCACGTTTGTTTGCGGGCCCTCCAATCATGGTGTAGAAAGTCAAAGTCCTCTACCACTCCTGTTTTAGGAGCTTACAAATCAGCTGCGAACATGAGGACTGAGAGTGCATAGCTCTGAGGGACAGCAGTCTAAGTGCAAGCCGGTCTAGATCCTGTGGACTATTTCAACAAGCATAATCCTATGAACGACCGTGCTCACTCGTGAAAGTGAGCGCTACTGAACATAGCACCACCAAAACAACAAGATCCAAACGGAATCTTCCCCGGGACACTTTGCAAGCACAAGCAGCATACACCAGCGCATTCATCTTGGGATGCCTTGCAAAAGCTGACGTGCCTTGGGAAGATAGTTGGCACACACAACCCCAGTAGAACAAGATAGGCCCTTTGGGCTGAAAATGCCGCCGTCTGTGCATTGATTCAACTGTCACTCCCGCCAAAGTATATATTACAGCCTGTCTTGTTCTCAAAGGAGGCCGCATATGATCCGGCAAGACGCAAGCTGAAACGGAGTGCCGCCTCTACATATACATAATCCAACTCAAGCTCCCCACAGGCGCACAGCTATCAGAAGCATCACCAATAGAATGGGCATCAGAATGTAACATTAGTCAGGATCAAATGTTCCCACCAAACATTAGAACAAGACTGTACTAATTGCGGTATCCATTCCGCACTCTCAACAAGTCAAATGCTGAAACAGTGCCACCATTGCGGTGAAGAACTGGAACTGCTAAACTTGCTTGATTTGCAGACTGCCACCACGAACGGACGGTTAAGGCTACTCACCTGGCGGATGCCTCGAGTTTGCTGCCTGGCTCAACCACTCATCGGTGACAGCAGGCTGGCCTTGCGCCTGCCACCGGACGGCCATCGCAACTTTTTGCGAACTTACACAAGGAGAGGGGGCTCAGTTTCAGTCTTGAAAGCAAAGTCGGAGGCTGCTAGGAGAGGTGGCGTCTGAAAATTTTGGATAGAGCAGGCACAGCTCCTCTGGAAGTGCTTGCTTGAAGTTGGAAGACTTTTGAAAGACACTTGCGTTGTCCTGCAGATCTGAAAAGGCAGGCCCCAGAGTTCGCAAACCTGAGCTTGATCGTTTCGCTGGTGAAGAGTCTGAAGACTCCACTCCGCCGCCATATTGCAATTTAGAGAACCGGTTCTCAGGCACCGGGCCCCGATATCGATTGCAAGCAGTCTACATCCTGGATTCCAGGCGGTCGACCCTCCTACACCGGCGGGTAGGTACTTCCGGCTACCTGTTTGAAGCTAGCAGGAAATTCAAATTGGCCAGAGGTTCAAAACTTGAGCTTGGACTTCAAGATCTCTGCAAAAGCGGATTTGTTCTCTTGGACGATGTATTGACCTTGAAGGCGATTCAAGCACCAATGCAGTGGTGTCTTTTGCAGGTCCCGTTCAGGCACAGCCTTCGCCCCTCCGCCAATGGCAATAGCTTCAGAGCCCGCCAGCAGAAGTGAAGACATAAGCTAGTTCAGCAGCCCTTACATCAAACTTAGCACGCCTTCAACTCTCGCACAGAAAAGCCACCACTTGAAACGTCCAACCTCTTTTCTCTGCATTGCGCTAACTCTGAGATCTTGACGGTCAATGGCTGGCGCGGCGGCTCACACATTAGTGCGGGGCGCGTGCGCCCCAACAGGCACTCCCCAACAAAGGAGAGAGCGAAGCACACTCGGTAGCCAGAGCCTGTTGCTAAGCCCAGGGGGCAACCGGAGGTTTGATTGCACCCACCATAGAAAAGGAGCGCACACACCGCAATTAGCAAAGGGCCTCTTAGGACGCCAGCTCAGCAATGCTGCGGCCGATTTGAGAAGACCAGGCAGCCAACGAAACCGCGCCGCACAATGCAGCTTCGTGACAGCGTCGGCGCGCGGGGTTGCAATGAAACTAGTCCCGTCGCTGCGCACTGCCCTCGGCGCCCACATTTCACACCTAGCTTTCGCCGCCCTTGCCGTTGCCTACTGGCACCTGAGCGCCCCGCTCCTCTCCCTCCTCCGCCGCCTCAACCGCTCTGACCCTGGCCTATCCAACCCCTCAAACCCTCCCCAAACCCCGCCCCCCTCCACCGCCCTAATGAGCACGGCCCTCCTCCTCCCCGCCGCCTACCCCGCCGCCGTCTCCGACTTCTGCCGCTCCTTGCGCAGGAACCCGACGTTCATGTCGGCGTTCATTGCCTGGACGCTCGCGCAGGGCCTGAAAGTGGTCACGACGCTCTACAAGGAGGGCCGTCTCGACATCAGGAAGCTGGTCGCGTCCGGCGGCATGCCGTCGTCGCACAGCAGCCTGTGCGTGGCGCTGACCACGAGCGTCGCGATCGTGCACGGGGTCTCGGGGACGCTTTTCCCGGTGGCGCTTGGGTTCAGCTTGATTGTTATGTACGACGCGGCGGGGGTGCGGCTGCACGCTGGGAAGCAGGCTGAGGTAAGCGGCCTTCCTTCCGTCTTTGGCCTTTCTTGAGTGTGCTTCACCGGACCTGCTTTCCATTTTTGTTCGAGGATGAGAGCGCTCAAGAGCACGCACGCGAGTCTGGTTTTTCATTCTTCTCCTTTGCTTTGGCTCTTTTATTCGGCAAGCGGTCATTGCCCAAGAAGAAAGGTCTGCCTTTCCTGGATTCTGACACCCTTCGTGTTCTGTGTGGTGTAACGAGATGCACTGACAAACTGTACACAAGCAGAGGGAAAGGAAGTCGGATCCGGCTGTTTCAAACCACTTGTGTAAACCACTTGTGTGTCATTCTGTCCTGCTTGGGTAGGGTAGACCTTGAGCCTGGAAATTGTACTCAGACCAGATGTGATGCGCGCTGTGAATCAGATCAAGGTGGACGCTCCCTAGGAATCGGGCTTCAACCAGTTTCAACCACTTTCAACCAGTTCAACCAGTTTCAACCAGTTTCAACCAGTTTCAACACATTTCGCTCTTTGGCCACTGCCTTTTTAATAACACGTCTAGCTTAGAGTATGTCATTTTTTGTAGAGCGTCCTTTGAAAATCGAAGGGCCTCTCCACCATGTCTTGCCCTCTGTTGTAACCGCTCTTGCCGCTCTCTTTTGACAGGGTAGTCGTACTGCTTCTTTGTCACTTTTGCTTCTGCTTTTGCCGCCTGATGTACATGTAGGGCCCCCGATGTACGTGCTTATGAGGGAGCAGGCGACACGGGGCAATGTTGACGGCTCAAATCTTTCTTTGGCCGTCCTCCGTTTCACTTGATTTTCACCTTAAGATGCTTGAGATTTGACCCAACGGTTTTTCGTCCCGTGCTTTTTACAATGGGTATATGACCTCAGAGGTCACTTCTTCTTCGGACTTCAAGTTACCCCGGCTGCGCTCCCCTTATCTGCACTTTGCCAACTGCTCGCCAACAGGCAGATAGCAGTCCTGAAGCTTCTACTCGTCTCTGTCCAATGGTATCCGAGCCTTAAAATCTCCAGCATAGCGAAGAATGGTCTGATTATCCAAGCCTCTTGGTTCCGACTCACTGGGTCAGACCCGTAATGCACGGAAGAGTTGGCCTTTGTTCCAAGCTTCCGCTCTCAGCAGTCATCGCCCCATCTTATCACATACATGCGGTTTGAATGCTTCTAATTCAGTGCTAACTAGCTGATAGAAACACTGGCCTTATGTCCGCTGCCTTCTCGGCGGTCCTCTGGCGTTTCTGTCCTTGACCATCTTCTCTTCTTGTTCGATAGCAATGACTTCGCACGAAACCGGCTGTCATCTGCGTTTGGTCAACGGCTTCGTTCTGACCGACTGTCTGCAACGTCCAGACGTATGCGTCTGAAACAAGGCCGTCGACCGCTTCTGCACCCCAGTTCCTTATTACGTTCTTGTTGCCGAAGAAGCATCAAAATCTTTGAGTAGCCGTGCAGGGACTGAAGGCCTGCTGTTTCTCTTCAGGTTTTGAACCGGATGATTGAAGACATGTACGAAGGCCACCCAGTCGGCGAAATAAAGTTGAAGGAGTTGCTGGGTCACACGCCACTCCAAGTCTTGGGTGGAGCGGCTGTGGGCCTGCTAGTGGCGTTGTGGTACCCGCAGAGCCGGTTCGCAGTTGTCTAGCATCTTGGTTCACCCGCTGGAAAACGGTCACCCTGTTTGGTATGATTCATTGAGAAACTGTAAGCCATTGCAGGTCGCTTTTGATTCTTTTTCATACCCGCTTGAGCAATGTGGCGGTACATACACACACTTTTGATTAAGACGAGATGTCGTAAGAAGCCGACTTCTCTCTAATGAGATTCAGAACCAGCTGAGATAAGGAGAAGGGGCAGCGGGCTTGGCGCTCTGCCTGGCGATGCGAGAGTCATTTGCAACAATCTAGGTCCACTTATTTACGAACGGGCAGATTCTTTGAGCATCGGCAAAGGTGGTTACTGTTCCAAAATTGAAAGGGTCTTGTTCACGACGTATGTAGTGGTAGAGTTTGTCACACTGTCAACACTCACCTTGGCACTTTCAACGTAATGCTCACAAGATATCCAAGAGGCGGCTTCAATCAGACCGGAGCTGTTGTTAGCGAGGTCTTATCCCAACCAAGGCCAGGCGGCTCGAACGATTGCCCAGTCTGAGCGCCACTTTGACTAGAATAACCTGCAGAGCGCGTGTAGAAAAGTAGGCCTGCTGGCCCGCGCTTGCATGCGCATGGATGCGAACATGTCGCAGGACTGCATAGTCTGGCACGCACATGTTCAAACTTGTCGAAGCCGTGAACCGTCTGAGTCGCACCGTATGTATCTAGGCTGGTATGTACTTACAGTATTCATGGACGCCTGGTGCATGGCCGGGGCCATGCAGCTCCTCACCAATATTATGCTTGCGATTGTCACCACTTTGTGGCGACCAACAATATAATTCACTGCAGACATATGCAGAGTCGGCGGCCTTGTATGTATGTTAGATATAGCTGCCATGTCTCTATATGATATCCAAGCCAGGCTGCGCGTGCGTCGCGTCCAACATGATCGATGCATGTATTCCGGCCAACATACGTACATAAGCCAACAATGACCGGGCGCCAGATGTGCCATGCACTGATTGCCAAACGTTTCTGTCACAATTTGGTAATCTGCATGCATGTGCATTGACGGCAGGGCTCTGGTTGGTTTCCGGCCTCTTACCTAGACGACACTTCCGGTGCGGCAGGCACGCAATCGATGAAGCAGCCTATTCATAGGTCAACGGTAAGAGATCAAACGTGGTGGAACAGGGTACATCTGAGGACGTTTTCTGCCATTTGAAGCCGTTTATGCAAAGGTTGGTGTTGGACTGGACAGCTAGGGATCATTGTGGATGGATTGTTGACCCGGTGGTTACTCAAGGGGAATCTGATGGCTCGCTTGAGAAACCATGCACCCATGGCTTTAGTGTTTGAGCGAGACTTCAACATACAACACATGGGAGCTTAGATAAACGCGTCAGTGACCCTCTCTTTTATCCTACCGTCCTATGTAGATACAGATCAAAAATGGCTGCGTCCTGATGCAGTAGCAGCTGTCTAGTAATCCTTGTTGACTCCGTCCTCTTTGTCCATCGCTTCCGCCAGCTTGTTCGCCGTTGAGATTGCTTTGTACAACAAGAAGCCCTGCACGTGATACATTTCAAGTTTAAAGCAGCAAAGCCAAGATCGGTGCAGCCTGAGCAATCTTACCCTGGATTGAAGCGCGCGGTGGCGGCCGCCCGGACAATTAAAGTGAAACTTCAAGCAAGTGGTCATGCAGATAAGGGGAGACCTGTTTGTGTTTCTTAGACTGACAACGTCATTGCAAAAGTATTGACGTGCAATATTTTTGTGAGGCGCTTCCACGACAGCGCATGTTTGAGAAAGACTCACCGCAGTTGGGAATCCCGAAAGGACGAAGAATCCCAAGATTGGGACATACAGACCGCTGTCTGGTTGGATCACTCCAAATATGGGGTTCTTGTTTGCAAACTCGTAGATCGATCCGACCTGCAAAGAGCAACGCGTGTTGTCAAAAAAAAAGGGGATAAAGTCAGGGCAGTGAGAGGGAAGCGTGTCGGGTCAAACCGATGCCAGCAGGAAACTTCCGGGGCCAGTGCTTCTTTCATAAAAAAGACCCGCACCGGCCTGACATCTCATATGGAGGGCCTTTCAGTGCTGATTTTGACTACTGGTGCTGACAATTGGATACGAAAGAGCCGAACCATAAAGGCACGTTACAAATAGGAAGATCTCTTCACTTCCCAATGCATGCAAAGGGCGTCCTGGACACAGCCATCAGTGCTGAGCCCTTTGGAACGTTTCACTAACTTATAGTCCAGTTGTGCCAGATAGTGCTAAGCAAACGGAGGCCGCTTCCCATGTGCCGCTCGTTACGTACTTGACTGCTCATGACAGCACATCTTTGCGGCGAATCATGACCCTTTCTTCCTTCCCACATTCTCCTCAGTGTTTACTTTGAAGCCGTGTCCGCTGCAAAAGCGGACTCAGACTCGGAGTGCATGAAACAGCCAATTGCAACAATGTGGCTTCAAATGTGGGTCCAGCTCACCGCCGCAATTGCGGTAAAGACCGAGAACAATAGGTACAGTCCAAATGGAAGGTCCTTAGGCCCCTCCTTCTGGTACCCTGACGAGTCCTCCTTGGCCCAAGGGGGCACCTCTTCCGACCCAGGCTTTGCCCAGGTCGGCACATTCTCCTCTTTCTCAACTGCTCGGACTATGCAAGACCTTCTAGACTGAGAAGGCTTCGAGAACGAATGCTGCGCATGAGCAAATGTGGTGTGGAGAGGGTTACGGATGCGCTTCTTAAACGATGGAGAAAGTTTGGAAGGGCAGCCGCAGCCAGCGCAAGACGCTTCTGCAGCAGAGAAAGGGACCTTGCGCCTGGCAGCTGGTGCTGCTTGCGAGCTCCAGGGAGCTGCCAGGACCGCTTGAGCCGCAGCCATGGTGAATGCCACGAAATTGGTGAATGGATCTGAATGCTCATGCAGCAGAGGGGCCTAATACATAACCCAGTCTATTAGTATTGGGTCTTAGTAAAACCATATTTATTCCAGGTACTGTTGACATCAGACTGGCAGCCGGATCGTGCGGGAAAGCAACACTGCATGATGTCGATCAGGTTGCAAATCTCAAAATCAAAACCGGGTTACCTAGGTACCAGCCCCAGTTGCGCGTCCGCGCGTGTCGGCCTACGCGGGCCGCCGCTCGGGCCAAGCACTGAAACAAGTGCGCGCGCGACAACAAAAAATCGAAAATCAATCGACGGCGTCAAACGAGTCACGATATTCTGAGGGCTAGTACAGATTCAATAGACGGTTATTTCAATTTATTGGGGGCACATCGCGACTGTACGTGCTTTGGGTACCTTTTATACGTCAAGTACGGTACATGCATGCGCACGATGAAATCGTTGAGGGGTCAGGGAGACGTCGGTACGAAAGTCAGTCAGTAAGCAGTGCGTACTTCAATGTCATATTTCAAGCTAAAGACTTGACCGTGACAAACCTAGGAGCACCTTGTCTTTTGTCGAACCTGGATAAAAAGTGTGCATCTGAGTCTGTCACAGCATCCAGACAATGCCGTAGTGTCTGCGCGCCGTCAGCGAGACCGGGTGATCAACAGTGAAGCTTAGCATGCAAGATATGACAAAATGCAGCTACATCGACGCCCTCTCTCACCTCTGATCTGTCGTAAGTGGTAAGGATTCTGGTGATTACGTGTGTCGCTGAACAACGCACGGATGAGAGCGCCGCATTGTCATGGCAGGCACGCAATGCCGACTTTAACTGTCAAACTGTGCATGGAGAGCAGATTGATGGGCAGCAAAGGCCTGCATTGATCAGTGGGACCGTAAGTGCGCTGATCACAAGCAGGGCAGCACAAGCGAGTCTGCTGACGTAAAAGGCACCGCATCGACAGCACAGGCTACCGCTCGGAGGTGGCAGGGCAATCTGTTGAGGCCAATGCGAACAAACATTTGTTGAGGTCAGCATTGCCACAAAAATTTGCTTTCGGCATTAGAGGGCGTGCTGGCTAGCGTGACCAGTGCCCACACTTGTGCAGACAGGAGGAGCAAATCTATTGAGCTTCAAAGGTCCCTGATTTTGCAACAGAGTTTTGTGAGAGAAGAAGCCGAATGTGTTAAGCAAGGGGCCCGATCAATCTGCACCTTTGCAAGCAAAGAGACCGGAGGCAGTTGGGAGTGTCTGGAAGTTTCCACTCGTAAGTGACGACCTTGATCTAATGGCCTCCTAAGAAGAGACCAGAGCAATCGTCTCAGAGCGCTTTTGTTCTCTTGAAGAGGTACCCACGCAAATACTATCAGCGCCGCACTGTAACAGAAGTGGGAAGAACGTCAGCGGGTGGTGATATCAAACAAAGTCCATGCAGCCTGTCTCCTGGTATTAACGAGGTTTCAAGTTTGGGAGTAGCTTCCTCACGAAGGAACTGCCCGTGGTGGTCATTACAAGAAGTGCCCTGTGTGGTTACAGCTGTCAGGGCGCCAGTGGGGTGGTGGTGGTGAGGAGAGGATATGTCGAGGGGTCGCTGTGAAAGTCAGTAGGTTGAAGTAGTTTGACAGCTGGACGGATGGGCGCAATGCTGGCTCCATCGTTCTGATCTCTAGGTGCACTTAAAAATGGCTCATGTGGGCACCTGTTTGCTTCAAAAGGCTGCATGCAACGATAGCCGTCCTGTTCACCATTTTTTCGGATTGAAGCTCAACTTCATCAGAGGGAGACTTTGGTGCCGCATCATTGCTGACACTTTAGATCTACCACGGCACTCACCAGGATGATGTTACTTGGCGTGTCGATGAAATGACCCATCAAGCAATGACAACCATTCATCACTGTGATTGTTGCGTGTCAGACATCGAGATCCCTTCATCCTTGACTCTCCGCAGGCGGTACAGCTGTCAAGAACAAACAGCCCACATGGCATGGGTGGGGCGGCCAGCGGCAGCGACTCGCCTGTGGGGCTGGCTATGCCTGCTGGCTCTCTCTTTGTGCAGCCACCACGTAGATGCTTTGATAGGGTGAGTCACTAGAACTGATGTCCTATTAACATCGTTTATTTCTCAACAGCTGTTGGTGCATTTGTCTGACGGACTCAGGCTTGCCGTGATTGGACAGCTGTCATTGCTATGTTTTATTGACAATATAGAGAGATGGGTTAGCCTATGTTGAACCTGCTGACGAAGTGACAGCTGTCATCAGCTTTTCTGCCGCAGACCTTTTTAAGAGTTCGTTGGGCTTTAAAGGGTCGCGGCTACATTGGACAGGGCTCCTTTGCAGAGCCAACGCGTGCCAACGTATTACGTCCAAACACAGGTGTCGGTATTCGTGCCTGAGCGAGTTTGAACATAAAAGCTATCTTGCGCAGCTCCGACCGGTTGGTGTTGACCAGCGGTGACTCGCGGGGGGCAGTGGCGGAGCTCGCCGAGTTTGGCTACAAGGCAGGCGGGCTCCTCGGCGTTTCTGTCGTTATGGTATGCCTCCCGCTACCCTTCTTTATACAATCCGTCGGATCTGGCCGTCCGACCCGAGCGTGGTATGATCCGCTTGGAGTGCAAAGCTAAGGCCGTCTGATGCTTGCGATTTGGTAACTTAGCAATCCGGGTTCTGCGATCTGCATTGATTGATTCTGGTCATGAAATCCGGGTTTGAGAGACATGCAAGGCCAACTACGCATCTTTCGAACGACGCGTCTTTCGAAGAGTCGCTGTTGAAAAGTACCTTCAGAGGAGAGCCGACATGGCCCCAGGTTTACAAGACCACTCGTATTTTGCAGCAGAGTCCTACTTTCGTTTGCGGCCACCTTTTGCGAGATCTTAGAACTACCAGAATGAAACCGTACTAGAAACAAGGGTCGCGTCTGGTGAAAGCAAGGCGTGAGCGGTCTGACTGCCACCTGTCTTCGTGGTATGGCGACGCAACTGAAAGGCGGACTTCGCGGACCTGTTTAAATCTGATGGCCCACAACGGAACGACTCCCAAAACCTACTGCCGAAAATGAGGATTATCTCTGGGCATCGCTCCCTCAATCGTCAGAGAAGCTGTTGAACTTTACCAAACGCCATCACCTCCAAGGGGTCCTGCCAATACCAGTCAAACGTTGTTAAGTCCCTGAGAAATCTTAGTCCTCGACCCGGCGACGACGACTCCACTTTGCCCGACCCACTCATCGGCTGCCACGTGTCATTCGCAGGGCGACATGCAGGAGCTGGAAGACGTCCGGGATTTCGACGGCGCGGGCGTCTACCTTGCGGCGTGCAAGCGGTCCGACATCACGGACGCGCTCCAGATGCTGCTGGACAGCCGCTTCCCCTGCCACGCGCTCGAGGCGCCCGCTGGTCAGTCCGCTTGTCACTCCTCCTGTGCAGATAGAGATTCGAGGAGGCGTGTAGCTATTTTCTCTGGCTTATCTTAAGCGGTGGGGTAGGGTATCTGTTCCTCTTAAGAGCTTGCTCGGGTACGGGCCATTTGGAACGACTGTCTGTGAAAGACTGCAGAAGATTTCGGTCAGGTTTAGGTTCTAGGTGCCGCGCGTTCGCAGCGGGTAACCATTTCACCCTTCTCATCTCTCTCAGAAACTCGTTCCTGACCCTCATAAATGGGGGTGTAGGTCCTTGGCAACCAGCAAAGTTTACCTTGGTGCTATAGCCCCTGCTGAGTGCTGCATAGCCGGTTCGTCCCGCATGCGCGCTCCAGATTGCGGCTGAAAAATCTGTTCATTTTTGATGTCGTCTTCTCATAACGAAGTCGAAAGTGATGGTCTGCCAAAAGCTTTCGGACTTAGTGGGAATCTCCACTCGGAGAGGAGCCACTATCCGCAGTTTTCCGCTCGCTCCAGATTGTCTCGACGGGTTTCTGACATATTTAGTAGTAAGGATTTCGGCTCCTCCTTTGTTTCCGGTTGCTTCTCGAGTCTCATCAGCATTTTGAGGCCCCTCCAAAGTAGATCCTTCGGCACGGGCACTACTTCAGTCAGAGCGCTTTCGCTGCTCTTCCGGTACTTCATCCCAGTCAACTTTGTGATTCAAGCCGATCGGGAGCCGATCCCAAACGCGCATTCCTATGCACGCACTAGAGCTCACGTTACCGACTGAGTGACAGCTCTCTCCCTTTTTTCAGACTGCTTCCTGCAGCCGCTCTCGAGTGAGACAGAGGCGTTTTCGAGCATGGTCAGCGAGACGACGGTTGTCCACATCGCGCTCGTCACCTGCAACTACCGGAAGGTGGTCTTTGAAGAGGTTAGCGCATAACCCTTTGGTTTTTAAGGGGTATTCTCTTGAGAAGGTGGGATAGCTGCGATACCGCAGCCTTTCCAAGAAAGGAACAGACTAAGCTCGAAGCCTGCTGCAAGTGACTGGAGCGAACATCCAGAAGGGCGGGCTTGGCGCAGATTTTAGATGCTTCTGACTGACACAAGGTTCTCCGCTGCTGCATATAGAGGTCGCCAATGATCGCCATTGTTGTGGTTGGTGCTGCTTTCGACTTTCACAAACCTACTTTTTTTAAAAACATTTCCGACTTGCACGAGTATGGTAACGTAAACCCAAGTTCTTGCAGGTCGACTTCATCATGACCAACCCGGGCGGGGAGCAGCTGGGCACCCGGTACGAACCGGTTAAACTGGTGTACACCGCCATGCTCATTCTGTGGATGGTGCTCTTTACCTCGCTCTTCATCCACACCATCACCAATTTGAAAGTGAGCCAACCGAAACCCCTTTTCTTCCTTCCCCTTTTAGTTCTGGCGCCCTTATGAATTGTTGATGTAGTCACACAGCCCCCACTTTCGGTGTCTGGTTAGGTGCCCCTCCTTTCGTTACTGAAGCCTTTGTACGAGCTTACTATGCGGATTGGAACACCGATTAAAGTTTCAAAATCTGCTTTGCCTCCTCTTCAAACCGGTCACGAAGGTAAAAGCGCAACCAACCGAATCGACCCACAAAGCATTTCAAGTTCTGAACCGTTTCCCAATGACGCCTCAAAGTATTATCTGCACCTGGACGTTTCCACCTACACAAAAGTATGAACGCGTATGTCTTCCGCCCAGAAAATGTCTCAACCGATCTATATGAGTTGGCTCCACGTATGATCGTAAATTGCCCTATCCTGTTCTCCTGCAGCGCGTCACCCCCCTGCACAAGTGGGTCATCACCCTGCCCGTCGCCCACCTCGCTTTGGTTACCATCTGCTACGCACGCTGGGCGCTCCTATCTTCACAAGGTGAAGCATGAATCTCGAACAAACTTCATGAATTCATGGGGTACGAATAATCATGGAATGACCATGGAACCAGAAGGAATAGTCCGGATTGCTGGTCTGCAAGGGAGCATAAGACTGGTATTCATCGTAAAAGTTGCTCGAATCCGAATCTCCTTTATCGGCCGGCCAGGACGGCGGAACTCTTCGGAAGAGCGCAAAATATTTTGCGACTTGTTTGATTGAGAGTTTAAGATAAATCCAGAGATAAAGGACATTAAAATCTATCAGTCCGACCGTTTTGTCCAGTGTATCGAGATCCAAAAGTTGGACGTTTGGAACATTTATAGAAAGGCGTCGAGATACTTTATTGATCTCATCTTCGTTCTTGCCATCGTATCCCAGACATACTGGGTACTGACACTCCCAGTTTATCTCAATTCGTGTAACTCAAGTTGTCAGTCAAAGCTCGGATTCCATCTTCCTCTTTCAACAATCTCGCTGACACAATTTCCTTCTCAGGGACCGTCCCCAATTGGCTGCAGCAGTTCTTCCTGCTCGCCCCGGCCTATACCCAGACGCTGGTGTTCCTGGTCACGCTAATGGCCGCGCGCGGCTGGTGCGTCACGCGCGCGGAGCTGCTGGTCATGGACAAGCGCGGCATGGCGTCGACGGTCATGACGGTGCTCCTGCTGCTGACGTTCGAGCAGTACGCCACGCCCGTCGCCTTCGTAAGTGCCTCCACGTCGATTCATAATCGAGTCGTAACCCACATCAGAAGCTCTTTCTGGCTGTTCCTGTTGATTCGAAGTGACCTCCCGCGGTATGACTTCTATCGTGATTCACTAATAAGGTTTTGAGTTTTCAAGAGACGAACCGACACCGTCAGGTTAACCAAGTTCTTTTGCAGCATCTGGTCCGCTTGACGCACTCGAAGCAAGGCTGTGCCATCCTTCATCCCTCAAATCGAGCATCCGCACATTCCTTCAAAACCCCCAAAAACCTGAAGTCTCTGAGTTTGCCTTCTGATGAGCCGCGAACCTGAAAACCACGAAGCTAACCCTCTGCCACTGCTGACGTCCGCAGCTGGTCCGGCTGACGGCGTACATGATCGAGCTGACGGCGGTGGTGTGCGGCATCGCGGCCAACTTCCGGCTGCTCTCCCTTCAGCTGCGCCTCATGCAGGCCGACCGCGCGGACGCGGCCGCGAGCGCCGCGGCCGCCAAGGCGCGCATGTACCGCTCGCTGCAGCTGCTCTTCTTCGCCTACGTCTGCTCCAAGATAATGGTGAGGGGAGTTTGAGGAATAGGTTAGGGAGAGATTTACCAGTTTTAGCTTCCGTAAAAGTTAGAGACGGCTGTTGAAGTAACGGCTTACACGGGTTTATCGAGATGGAAAGCGTCGTCGCAGTCTGACTTAAAAACGGCTTACATCGGGTTTATCATGAAGGAAAGCGTCGTCTTGCATTCTGACTTGGACTTTAGAGCCGACTATATATGAGACATTGTTGGTATCCGCTTGTACCTCGAATCGTACAACTAGGCCGCGCTTCCGGTCTATCTTTCGCGCTCGAAAGACCATGTCGACACAAGATGCTCCAAACAAGACGCTCGACAAAAGATGCTCTAGAACCCCGGTCAGGCGACTTTCGCTTTCCTTGAATGGTAGCACGTGGGTCACGACTTATCACCTGAATTTGTTCGAATATCTGTGTTCGCAGCTGGAGATGCTGTCCAGCATTTTGGACGAGCGCGATCCCTGGAGCCGCATCATGGCCGCGGAGGCGATCGAGTACGGCTTCTGCTTTGCGCTCAGGTGAGGCGACGTGCGAGCACCAAACAGTACGGGATGATGAAGCTTAACAATAAGCCTGCTGTGTTTGGCGGTTCACTTATGTTGATTCAGTTGACGAGACTTTTCCCATGCCTCTTGATGTTTTAACGACATTTCCTGCCCTTTCAAGGAATGTCGCAGATGTACCTCAAAACGCTTGAAAACGCTGGAGACATTGCGCCGAGTTACTTCGAAGCCGCTTGCTCCCTTCATCAGGAGGGCAGGGAGCGAAAGCAAAATATATTTCGAGATTTCCAATCTTGGTACACTCGTTCAACATCTGCTCTCCTCAGAGTATCTTGATGTGCTCCCTGCGGATCAAACTAGAAGGATCTTCATCAGGAGTATTGGCGCCAACTCACGCTCCATGGATCCAATGAACGCTTTTGAACCGTATTAAGCTCCACACCTTCATGACAGACACTAAAAACCATAGACTGGCAGCAAACAAAACCGTGCATACATGCTGAGTGTGCCGGTTTCTGAAATATGAGCACTCAGATGACTCTGCAATTGGTAGTTAAATCTCGCTTTCGTGTGTAAAGCCGAACCTCTTTGCCGCGCAGTTTCCTGCTCCGCTTCCAACGGCCCAACATCTTCAACGCGCACGAGCCGCCGAGCCTCGAGCGCGGCGAGCACCCGCTCGCGGCCGGCCTTTACGGGCTCCAGAGGAACGGGCCAGGCTCGCGCGCGCCACCGCAGGTGAGCGCGCGCGCCTGCAAAGTGCCACGTTCTGCTTTTCTTCGCCTGTGATTTTTGCTTTGCAGGTTTGACAGCACAGAGCAAGAAGCCGTCCAGCATGAATACAAAGACGGCCGATCGACAATGTCGAACAAAACTGGCGATAAATCTCGGTTGTCTGTGCGGTCGTAAAGAGAGAAAGCTTTACGTCGCAACTCGTTGCTGTTGGGATTGGTGCTTTCTGAAAGGCCATCAAAGCAAACGACCCATGCAGTAGACTCGTCTCGACATGGCACTCAGATAGACATGACTACTATTCGCAAAGAGCGGCTCCAGGATACGTCCCTGATGTTCCTTGGTACTGGAGTGGATCTTTCGATCTTTGCCTCTAACTGCGCGCGCGCTTTCGGAGCAGGTGCACAACATCCCGCTCTACTCCGACGGCAGCATTCCGCCCGGCTTCGTCATCATCGAGAATCCGCCGGAACTCGACGCGGACGGCAAGCTCGTCCGCAACGTCGCGGTCGCGTCCGTATCGCTGCCGGACGGCGCCGCCGCGGACGCGGGCAGCTCGAGTGTGAATGCGGACGGTGTGAATGCGGAGGTTTCTGTCAACGCGGGGAGTTCGGCGAATCTGGACGAGCCTGGCAGCGCTGTTGCGAGCCAGGTAAGCTTGTAGACAAGAGGTTTCTTTCATGGATGATTTAAGCGTTTCAGAGGCGTCTTTAGTCTCGTGCCGAAAGCACGCGCTTGGGAGGTTTGATGCTTTGATCGGATCAGATTGGCTTCCGCATAACAAATGACGCAACGACAGATCTTGAGAGGATTGCATCGGAGCATGACGGGAAAGCTGTGCTTCGTGCAAAGGTTGCACATTCGCCAGTAAGACATTCGCGATTGGTTCTTTATCATGCCGTAGCCTAACGTAAGTAGGAACTTCGTTTTCCTTGCAGGCTCTGCTGAGCTCCTTCCAAGCGCGCTCCTCCGACGAGATTGCTGCCCTGACTGCGGCCGCGCCAACCGAAGGCGCGTCGACCCCAAACCCCCTGCTAAACCCTCCCCCCTCTAGCTTCCGCGCGAGCCCTCTCCCCTCTTCCGCCGGCGCAACCACCACCGCGGAACGGAGCCCTGAGCCGCGATCTCGGCCGCGGCAAGGCTTCCCGGGGAAGTTGAGTTCGTTCGTGTCGCGACTGACACGTGGCGCGGGAAGAGCGCCCGGGAGGAGCCCCCGGGGGGTGGCGGATTCAGAGGGGCAGCCGCAGAGCCCGACGCTGGTTAGTGCGCTCTTGGAGCGGACCACCAGCGACGCGTCCGAAACGGGGGGGCAGATTGAGCTGCCGTTGAGCCCCCCCGGAGGGAGCGCCAACGGGTACTTTGCGAGCGGAAGGCCTGCGGAAGAAGGTCCGACTGGGCGGGACGAAACTGACGGCCAGGAGAGCGTCGCTGGAAGATCGGACGGTCAGAGGAGTGCAGAGCTGGTGGATCGGCTGACGAGGTTACGGGCCGCCATTGCGGCCCACCGGGGCGAAGAAGAGACAGGTACGAGCCAAGGAGGGACCGGTAGGGAGGTACCGGGCAAGGAAAGCACGGAAGGTCGGGGTTGGGGGACGATCACCGGGCTGCCGGATCGGGTTGATTCGTCGAACGGAAGCGGCGGACAGGAGACGGGTTGCGGAGAGAAGAAGAGCTTTTCACCGGAGGACGTGGTTTGAAGAAGCTCTGTCGAGTTGGAGAGATGCGAATGAACTGCGTTTGCTACTTAGTAAGCTAATGTTATGAGTAATGATTGGTTCACCAGCGCGTCAGGGCTCACGAATTGTGGGCGGGCGCACGTTGACAGATTGCGAGAGGGTTGCGAAGTAGCAGCCCCACAAGCACTTTAAGGACGACTGGCGCTGTTCAGTAGTGGACTTGACATTGACGAGATAATTGACCCGCACGCGCTTTCACTTCCCTTGGATAGAGAAGCAAATGGGCTACAAAAATATAGTATCGGCTCGCACTTTTCAGACAGAACTAGAGATGCCACAAAGATGGCGAGTACGCAGTTCACTTTTGCAAAGGCTAGGACCTAGAACCTAGACCCTGGCTACCGCTGCCTTTGTTGGGTGGATACACTGGATATACCATCATGGCGCAAAGAGTCAAGTTGCCGGGCACTCAAAAGATTTCAGGCAGAGCCTACCGATATGCAAATAGGTGACAAATGAACCGAGATCAACTAGGATACGCAGAAATATAGGACGAGGTAAGTATAACTGCATCCCAGAATCAGAAACACGGCTACATTTCCAACTGTGGGTTGAGCAGCAGCAAAAAAGCGATAGTTCTGATCAAGAAGCCGTACTGCTTTCGAACCACAAAAGATCATTTTCCCCCCTCTGACCGGTTGCGGAAATATCCAGATTTTGTGACAGAAGAAATCTGAACAACAGAGATGCACTACCTTTGTCAAGTTCCTCGATGACTGCATGGCCATGGTACAGCTTTTTCATGATATACCATAATGACTCCATCTCTTGTCTTCAAGTACTGACGGACCTTTCGTATTAGAATTCGAGCCACGTTCCTAGCAGAGATTCATAAGGGCAGAATCTAAGTTTATAGTATTTCTATGTCGCAATTGGTCCATTGCACGCCGAATTGGCAAGTGCAGTGGTCCGTGATCTGGCTTCTTAGTGCAGCTATTAAATGATACACGAGGCATGATTCTGTGCTTACTGTGATGATCCTATGTTATAAGAAAGATGCAGTGACGAGATGGCGCGCACGTAGCGGAACAGCGTGCGCAGGGTACCGGTGCTGCTTGGCTGCAGAGGACCGTCATCGACCAGCAAGTTCTCGACTGGACAATGCGAATCATGTGACCTCATCCAGTTGTGTCACTCAGTCAGTGTGTTCAGGCCCCACCGTCAATGTAGTCCGTCCGATACGTGGCGAGCAGCATTTGGACTTAACCGTCCGCTTGAAATGCCGAAAATGAACGGCCCCAATCTGGTTTCCGCGGCTTAAGTTGTAGCAATCTAAACCCCAGCCAAACCCTCGTACGGCCCGCGGCCGCGGCCGGCCGGATTTGAAAAGTACGCAACCATCACGGCACCGATTGCCGACGCGTTGGTGATGGTTGCGTACTTTTGCGTATACTGATGGTTGCGTCATTTTGCGCACTTTTGCGTACTTTCGCGTACTTTTGCGCACTTTTGATGGTTGCGTACTCAAGTGATCCCCTGTGCATGCATAGCGGCGCCAAGGTCCTATTTACAGCTGTAAAACGTTTCAGGGTAAGGCTTGGGCACATTCTGCAACAAAGCAGGAGAGACTGAAATTAGCAGACAAAAGGAGAGTACATTTGAGTGGGATCTGCTTCTCTCATGTGATACCAACATCACTAGTATCGTCATATCGTAGCGTCACCTAACGTTTTGTCCTATGTCACGCTCTGGACGAATCCAGCATCGACTCCAAGTCGGATTCAGACATGCTCGAATTGTGCAGCATTACTAGTAGTATATGGTACTGAAACCAATTATGCCGCCGGTTGGCAACCCACCGCAGCAGGGCGCCGCTTCTAAGCACAACCTCAGGAGGGCCCGCCCTGATCTGCCTCGTCCCATTGTGTACTACGTCCCGGTTGATCCCTATCGGGCGCCACAGCTTCCGGATCAGCTCAGCCAGAGCTGCAAAGTTGTTCCAAGCCAGCTCGGTCACGGCTCCACCCGGTCCAAAAGAGACGTTGCAATCTTCTTTGGATGCATCTTCGCAGCGGGTTATTGCCTGGGGTACTCTGGCTTGACGATCTTTAACGTGGGGGAGAGGTAAGGTGTATGAATGAGAAGAGGGTTGAGTTGTTGAGAGACTACCAAAGAAGGGTTGGAGAAGCCAAAGAGACAATCAAAGCGGCCAATGATACCAGGCTGGAGATGAGTCAGAGGCTCAACAAAACGATTGACGAGCTGGTGTTGTGGCTGAAAACTCCTACATCGAAAAGCAATGGTGAGAAAAGGTGGACGCTTTCTCTTGGGACTAAAATCTGCATCAAGAGTGGTTTCTCTGCTCCTAGCCTTCCAGCTGAGGTTCAAAGTTTTCATCTGGTCTTACTTGTCAGGCCATCGTCATTAGCAGCAGCGCATGATTTCCACTACAGCGTGACATTGGCTGTCTGATATTCGGGGAAACAAGGGCTTTACAGGCGCACCAAGCGGTTCAGGCTTGCGGCTTTTGTACTTCGTGACTGGCCTGCAAGATTGTTTCCCACCAGGTGTCCGTCTTTTGGTGATCGATATGCGTGAAAAATAGGGTCCATGATTTGGCCTCCTCAATCCTCGGGCCCACCTCCGAGATTCTTCATTACATGCAAGCAAGGCTGCATGCTCCGGCTCTAGTCCTAGCCTAAAAAGTTGTTCTTCAGTGAATCTGATTCCAGTTGGACCCTGCATTGAGAGTTGCGAGTCGTTAAAACATCTCCAAAGCTTTTCCCTGCAGATGTTGAGAAAAAGCCCGGGGGCAAAGGCTCGCCGGCTCCACCAGGGACGGCAAGTTAACAGCTTCACTTCGACAAGCATACTTATGTCTTGTTTTTGGTGATCAGTAGTGGTGACGAGAGCTCCTCGAGCAGAAGGACTGTAAGAGGCCGCTACTCTGTCCTGATCTGGCTGTCTATAGGACTAAAACGTGTTGTGTCGTACAGAATCGTAGCAGTGTTTCCCCAGACAACCAGATGCGGATTGACAAGATCAATTTCTGTCGAACATCTTCGAGAATATGATTTTGGAGTCGTGTTTCATCGGCCCAGGTTGAGTCCTCTGGTCGGGGCCCTACCAATTTGCCAGGTCTATTGAAGTCCGTCTACTGCAGAGTCGGGCCACGTGTTGTAGACAAGTTGCTGTACATATGAGAGACCCGAGAAAGCTCTGAAGCAGCTTGAGGTTGATCAAGAGCATGCATAAGACTGTGCACTTAGAATTTTACTTTCGAAACGCTCCCTTATATAGAATCAGGTTGCTGCTAGAAAAGTGCTAGCTCTTCTAAACATGTGCCCTCATTGAAGTCCTGCGCGTCGTTTCATCATTTCTCAAACGACCTCATCGTCTTCATCGATCATGAGCAGCCCTGCTTCAAAGTTTGTTATCGACGATCGTGGTTTCGTATTTGCATCATGCCTGCTTTTCAGTGGCCGCTTGTGCTGTTTACCTAGCTTCCATGCCTCTACTTCCGGATACTGTGGAACATGGCCTATGATAGTGCCATAATAATGTGGGGCAAAAAATAGAAGTTGTCGTCTGCGTGACCGCTAAACTTCCATGGCACACGTGTCCCTACTGAAGCACCAATGAGTCGTACACAAGACTATGATCATGGCATGAGAGTGGCCCTCTGTTTGGGCGCCCCTGCGATTCCGTCCATACTAAGGAAGGTGCTCAAGAGATGGTGAAGTCACCGTCTCTTCACAAAAAGGCAGAATAGACGTAACATTCTCGCTATCATACCAATATCAGTTTCATGTCAGCGCTAAGTAATCAAGGAGTCTTATACTGGAGTCTGTCTGGATACATTGGAAACCTGGCCCACTCCCACACTCTCCATGCTGTCGCCCTTTCCGGACCGGCGCGTCAAGCGAACAAAGCATAGGGCGGAAATCAATATATGCGCTCATCAAACTTGGTTGGAGGCCAAATGTATCTTCCGACACCTGTGCTGATCGATGTACTATACTACAAGCCACGAGTAAACAAGATTCACCTATCTTGCCGCAGGACGTGACCGTCGCAACAAAATAACGCCGTGTCCACACCGACGAACGTCGCTGCGCTTGCCACCTCCCCTTCGACACACCCCAGAATGTTCCTCAAATCAGCTCCAAATGCAGCTCTTTCTTGACAGGCCACTGAAATGCTCGGGTGTAGCAACTCACTGAGGCGGGATACTTGTCAGAACAAATACAAAGCGGGATAGGACAAAGGTATCGAAAGACGAGGGAAAATGTTTGTCCTCCGGAATATCAGTGTTTGGTACAACGGCGTTCAAAACATGAACGTCCGGCGATGTCGGTCACGTCAAAGGTTCATCGACCGTCACAATTGCGGCAACCGCAATAAACGGGAGGGCTATTGCATACGTACCTCAATTTCTGGTACTTTTAATATCCATCACTCATCCGCCATCCATATCCATTTGTCTTTTGCTAGCCTTTACAGAGATTGTACTCTAGTACCTTCCTACAGTCAGGCAGGGGCATCTTCATTTGCTTTTCACATTCAATCATCTGAAGGTCAGGAAAGAGGAAGGCTTGGAGTGGATGTTTGACGTCTTGCGATAATAGACTGGAGATTGAAGTGATTCAGAAGCCTAGCGTCTTCTTTTCTACCAGACGTAGCTTTTACAAATCGACACAAAGCGATTAGCGATCTCAACGGAAGTAGCCTCTCTGCTTGTCAGATCCTGGCGTCATGGCGCTCACGCAGGTCTATGAGAAGACCATGCGCCCTCTTCTAGACACAATAGACACCCTCAGGAAGATTGGCGTGGCCGATGAAGGCATCAAGCTGCCTACCATCGTGGTCATCGGGGATCAGTCAAGTGGGAAAAGCTCTGTGATTGAGCGGCTGTCGGGAGTCTCTCTGCCACGAGGAAAGGGAATAGTGACGCGGGTCCCATTGGTCATGAGAATCAAAAGCAGCGAGTCTACAGAAGAACTGGACATCTTGATTGAGTACGGGAGCGAGAAGAAGAATATAATGCATGAGGAAGTGGAAGAAGCGGTGAGAGAAGCGACCCGGATCCTGGCCGGTGATGAGAAGGGCGTTTGTCCTAAGCCTATCAACTTGAGTGTCTGTGGACCCGACCTCCCAGATCTCACTCTTGTGGACCTGCCAGGTATCACGAGAGTCCCAATCAAGGGCCAGCCGCAGGACATTTACCAGCAGGTTGTGAACATGATAAGAGAGCAGATCAAGCCGGAAGAGACGGTAATCCTAAACGTCATCTCGGCTGAAGTTGATTGGGCCACCTGCGAGTCCTTCAACTTGTCCAAGGAAGTCGATCAAGAAGGCTCCCGGACTCTGGCGGTGGTGACCAAAGTTGACAGGGAGCCAGACGGCGCATACGAGAAGGTAAGCCATCATCATCACAGTACCGCCAGAATTAGTGTCTGTGCAAAACCATGCCTGGGCCATGTCTATAAACGCTGTCCACGCATCCTCTGCAACCGATATATATGATCATGATCACATTCGGGTCACATCTAAGAGGATTTTAGAGCCCGTTTTCATTCTGTTAGAATTGATCATCTTAATAATCTACTTCCACATCTTCCATATTGCACTTTGAAATGAAACTCTCCAATAGAGGACGGAAGAATTTCGTCGTCCAACATTTGCTTTTTTCTTCCAATCGTCCAGCAAATCAGAATCCCCGATGATAGACACACGTTTCCCTTTTCTAAAGTTGACGATTAAGCAAGGAAACATAAAATATTCATTTTGCTGACCCCTCAACCCTTCTGCAGGTCCTGGCTAATGACGTCAATGTGGGTCTAGGGTACGTGCTGGTATGCAACCGTGCAACAGATGATGTGACTTCCTTGCCGAAGGACTCTGCTGCCAAGTATGAGAGCGACCTGCTCTTCTCGCATCCGAAGCTGAGGACGCTTGATGCTGACATGTTGGGATGAGAAGCGCTTGGAAGAATCCTGACCGCAATCCAAGGGAAGCGAATCAACGGGAGCCTCCCAAAGATCCGCTCACAGCTTCACGTGAGAAAACAACCGCTTCTCTCGTTCACTCTTTGATTTCTTTGCAGCAAGAACGTTCTTCGCGACTTCATTGGTATACCTTCGACCTCTTTGACCGACTTGCATGTATAGGTAGATTACGCGGTTGAAAGAAACCGTGGACTTTTGTCTTCGGCTTATCTTAGTCTGTGTTCGAATGGAATGGGGTCGTTTACTCATGAACGGAATACTCTAGCCAGAAAAGTTATAATCGTAGAACCGACGTCTCTGTCAACTATGAAAAGTACTGAAAGATTTATCTATGTTTAACGCCAAGAATTCCAATGGCAGCTGGCTTGATTCTGGAACCTTGGAATCCACGCAGGTCTACAGACAACTTTAGTCAGTTTTAATTCTCAATCCCCTTCTGTCAATAGTGCGAACGCGGAACCCTCCAAAGCTTAGGAGAGCGACAGGATGTGACGACTTCTGCTTTCTCAACTCTCCTGTTCTCGAATTGACTGAACATTATGAGTAACATCGCTGAAACCCCTTGCATTCTCCAGAACAAGCTTACGGAGAAACAGAGCGCCCTTCAGAGGCTTCCACCAAGCGTTGTGACTGAGGCGGAAGCCATGATGGAGTTTCTGCGGATCACGAGCGAAAGGACCCGAATCATGGAGGGCCTCATGCTGAGGGGTGACAGGCACGTTGAATTTTATGACGACGAGGAGATGCTCTATCCCTCGAAGCTCAACTCGCTATTCGAGGATCTTGAGGAGACTCTTCGAGGGGCTACCTCCAAGTTTTTCTCAGAGGGGTTCAGGAACAGGGTCAAGACAGCCACGGTGGGATTCGCAGTGGCGAACTTCCTGTCTCACTCGGTCTTCAAACAGGTCGGCAAGCACTTCAGTCTTTCTAAGCTATTGAAAACAAGATTCGTTTTGGAACTTTCTTACTGGAATAGGCTTCCCGCTCGTTGAGAGGACTCTATGCACGATTGCTAGATTTCAATCCCCTCTTCAGAACATACCGTGTTATCATCTTTCATGACGTTGCCAAATCTTTAACCATAGCTGGCAGAATGTCTGAAATTAAAAGCAGGATGCATCCGTTGGAGCTAGATGTTGCCACGTGTGGCAAGACTCTGGTTGATGCCGTGAAAGGCACCGCGCAAATACTGCGCAGTCGGTTGAGTAATCAAATTGTGTTACAGAAACCATTTGTCGACTTCTTGATCAGTGGGCCTTTTTCTCTTCTTTACAGCTCCTGCACGAGGAGGTGGAGAAGTGCAAGCCCGTCTGTTTCGAAGTTCTCGAGAAAGTTGTGGAGTATACCTTGCGGGTATCTGACGAGGTCATCGACATCTGTGCGGCGTCGTTGCCAGGTTTGGCCACGACCATGAAAGAAACGGCTGGACAGGTCAGTCAACAAACAAATATGATAACCAGATTGTGAAACAATTTGTGACGCTCTCACAGCATGTTTTGGTAACTGTACTTTCGTTGTTCTTCTGCTTGCTGCAAGCGCTTTACCACGACCAGCAAAGAACCGGATCCTTCAGCGTTTCATGCTCAACGGTGGGTACGTTAATGCTGTACAGACATCAGCTCGACGAAGAAAACCTCATCGGCACAACGTTTGATCATTTTGAGAAAATCACAAAAGCAACGTTACTCTTTGTGAATGTGCTCGCAGAGACTCGGCGCTTCCCAACAGACTGCCTACAAGTTCATCGAAAGGGAACTGGAGAAGAGTCAGGCCATAGTGTGCACGTTCAACCACTACTACATGGACACTGTGAGCAGCCTGACGAAGGGGTTGGATGAGTGCAAGGACCTCCAATGTGCGCACGGGCACGACGCAAGAAACTGGCCGACATCATATAATGGCACAGTGCGCTGTGGACACGGGCACGCTATTCAGCTTCCTGCATCCCTTGAGGACGCACCTGAAGGCTTCCTCAAGGCTCCATTGGTTGACAACGCGTCACAAGCCCTCCAAGTCATGCAGGTAAAGACAGATTTCAGGGTAAGCGGCGCCTCAGTGTTCAAATGGCGATCAGATTGCATTGTACTTCTTGCTGCCGCGTCTCGAGTATGTCCCCTGACCTTCGGAACCGGGTCATGTTGGAAAGCATCTACGGAATATCAGATCCACAATGGGTATGCTGTTCCGAAAGCAGCCAGAGCTACCTCAGAGACGCGGTAGCACCACCATTTTTATTGATTTGCGAAGTCCCCTGACCTTTTATTACCCCTTTCGCAGATAAGCGTGTACGCATACTGGAAAGTGATCCATAAGATCCTCATCGACATTATTCCGAAAGAGCTCCGTTTCTGAATGGAGGAGGTGAAACATCGAACCGCAAATCTAGTCTTGTCAGCTGCTCTTTTGTCTTGCTTTACAAACGCTGGATCCGTTCTCCGAGGGGATGTTTGTATCAGGTACGCCGCTCATTCTGTTGCGAGCTCGCCCTGAAAGCTTAATGGTGCTAATACGCTTTGGCAAACACTTTCAAGATTCTCATTCGGTCCATTGAGCATTAAAATCACAAATAGTCTCTTCAATGTCAAAACATGGCGCTGTTTACTGTTGTGCTGTCGCTGTCGAAGCGCTCGTCAAGCTGTTTAATCCCAGGGCGGTGACAAACACTGTCAAAACGCTGTTTCAGGCTCTCTTGGGCGACATGGACAAGGTGCTGAGGCAGAACCTGGGCGCCGACGGCCCGGGCTTGCTGAACCTCATGAAGGTGGGTCTCAAAAAACAGCTTGGCCAACAGCTGCTGCCAGACTACCGTGGTTCAGGTTGACAATATGTGACAGCTGAAGGGTTACGTCTTGTGCTTAAGATTCAGCTCCAAACAATTGATCGTCGGTGACAAATCACTGCGTCTCAGCGGATACAGTATCACTTAATGTTGACGGTAATGTTGAATTTTTGATATGCAATTTGACTCTCAGAGTTCGTCATCGAATCGTGGGCGATTCGTTGCTGTGGTTTTTATCTTAGAGCTCTTGTTGGAGTGCGAAGTCATTAAGCTTCTGCTTGTTTTTGTTGTATTTCAAAAGACAGAGACTTTGCGTTTGAGGTAGACCAAGCATCCAATAAGCACCTGATATTGTCATAATCGACAACTGCAGGAAGATGCGAAGACGACGAGACAGAGAGACGCGATCAAAGCAAGCATCAAGACACTCGAAGATAGGGCGAAGCTCCTGGTTTCGGTGGCACCGTGAAATTGATGTGGAGCTCCTTGGGATTTTCCGTGAACTTACGGGCTTACTCAGGAGAATGTCATCAATGTTAACGATAGCTGTTGCTCAACATCGAGGAGGAAGGGTTCGCGTGATTCGCAAATATTCAGGATACTTCAGTGACAGATCCCATAAACTATCACTTCTGCAAGCTTTCGATGGAGTCCTAGCTTCATCTATAGCAATGGCAACCTGCAGAGATGATTATGGATCCATGTACCCGGCAGATGAGGCCGGTGCGAGTTCGACGACCATGCTATCTGCAGCAAACGTACATTGTTGTTACTAATGAGCAGGACGACTGTCGGTGGCAAGATCGTATATATCTACCGCATATATCTGAGTTAATCAGGACAAATTACTTATCACGCATGCAATGCACGCGCCGGTTGCAATGCCTTTACGTATTAGTAGCTCGATCACAGGCCCGGGATTGCATGCATGCTGGCAGATATCGTTGAATGTAGCTGAGGCGGCCTATGTATCTGAATTGGACACGGCCAACCATCATGCAAGGTTACTTTGTCTCATGCCGGACGATTACAACTGAGGTTTTATTGATCGAAGCTCAAACATGAGACGGCCGAATGTGGCCACATGCAGTGATGGTTTCTTTCGGTATAGCCCAGAGGGCAAAGAAGACGTGTACATTTTGTGATGGACGGATTTATCTACGGGTCCTCACCTAACGATCAAGCGTTTGATTCCAGGCTAGCAACAACAACAACATCAATTCATTATAAGGTTCTACATCTATCTACTTTGTAGCACTAAGCTGTGTATGTTCAGCTTGTGCAGTCATCACAGTCACATGCAGTCGACTGTGATGACGGTACATGATCGTACCATCATCTCAGTCACTGACTGTCACTAGCTATACCGCACATCATCATTGTTGATGCAACCTAGCTCCTGTCGCAATCAGGTACACGTCTCACATATATGTGTATGCACCGGCTGCATTAGTGCGCTCCCGGCTGGTAATATTGCGATCATTGTGTTCATCGCGACATAATTCCGAGGATCGAGTAAAAGTTGTTGTACGTTGTGCTTGAAGGTGCGCATCATGCATTAATTGACAATTGCCGTCTAATTGACCATGCATGAACTTACGTGTGCACAGAAGCTGCTGTCATGCCTGGCATCAGACTCAAACTCTGCCCACGGTGGTCATTGTATCTTGCGTGCGAATATAGACCAACTAAAGGACATCACTACTCAATTAATTGAATCCGTTGGTTCATGAAACCGTGATGGTCACTCGGATGTGACATGACTTTGCGGGCCAGTGACATGCATAACTAAAGAAGATGCGTCACGTATTTACACGGACAATCCCATAGCAGCGTACGTCAGGCTCGCCGTCGGGCTTCTGCTGCAAGAGATATGAGGGCTGCGAATCGCTTCCAACAGCAAGAGAGTAAACCGATGACTCTTTGTGCATTCCCTCGAGGTCTTGACAATTCAGTGGCGGCCTAATGGGCCAGCAGATCTTGAGTCACTGTACAGAGGCCTGCTCGATCTAACTACCAGCCGCCAGCTCTTGGCCTTGCCCGAGACACCTACTGACGATCGACAGCGACAGGTCTGGCTCAGCAGGCAATATTGAACCTACACACTTCCTCTCCTCCGTTCCTCTCGAGGCGCAATAGCTTATACCTCTAGACAGCGACAGCCATAGCGGAAGCGGGGGATGCTGCGGTGCTTGCACTCTTGTTGGCAGTGCCATACTTCTTGGTGATGAACCTGGGCAGAATCCGACTTACATGTCAGAAGCCAGTTTTAGTTTGCATCAGAAAGGGGCGAGACTCGCACGCCATCACATGCTTCAACTAACCTACTCTGCCCCCCCTTGCAAATAGAATTTGGTTAGCAGAGTGAAGCAAGCTGATGAACGAGAGCTCTAAAGACATCTTCTGAAACGACAGCTCCTTAAAAAGGAGATCCCCGAGTCTATTAACGACAGATCGAGCCGTTCCAAGCGGTCGGCCACTCAGATAAGCGCCCCTACCTGAAGAAGTCCCTCCACAGCAGCTCGAACGTCAGCCAGCTGAGGCCGTTCGCATCCTCCGAGGGCGACTTTTGCGCCGTGGCGGTGATGGCCCGGGCGCCCCCGCTGGCGGCCAGGTCCTCATACATGCGGCGGGGAGACAGGCAGCCCATCGCCAGCCAGGGCGAGATCTTGCACGAGAAGTTGGCGCCGTTCAGGTTGTCGGCGGCCTTCTTGGCGCCGGCTGCAAGGAGAAAAGACCGGGACTGGATCAGATACAACTCGTGCGACGGAACGGCAGCTTTCGAGAATGCTTGCAAAAACGAGGACGACTTAAGACGGATCAGGACAAATCGTCAAGACATAAAGAGGTAGTTGGACAAACGTGAGGTCACAAGATTGACTTTTGCCGACGACAGCAGAACAAACATAGAAGGAGCTCGAACAGTTTCTCCTCCAGAGGGTTTCTTCAAGCGAAGACGGATGCTGCGCAATCTTTCACTCCAGGGGAGCCAGATTGATTCCAAAAGCAATTATTTGAAGACAGCTCCTTTGCCAGAGTGCAGATATCACCCCTCATTTCCTGAAAGGAAGAGGCGGGCAGCTACTTCAGAAACTCACCGGTTGCATCCGCTACAAAGCTCTTAAGCCTGTCGAGGGCCTCCGACTCTCCTCCAATCAGGGCCTGGGCTCCAGTCTCCTGTACAGATTGAAGTTAAAAGTTAGGGACGACCCTTTTTGAATGACATCATGCAGCGCATCAAAAGTAAAGATCTCAACCTACCACATACCCAGCCCCAAGGTTCTGATGAACTATAAATGCATGCACCGAAGAGTGCGGAGCAAGAAATACTCCACAAGGACGCCTCCAGACAACAAACGCACCTACTTGCGATAGCTCTTCAATGCTTCAGTGCTCTTCAGTGCTCAGTCGTTTCCTTGACTTGGGGACATTTTCCCCATGACACCCACCCAACCGACGACCTCGGTTGCTCAGAAATTCCAATGACAGTGATTGAGATCCGTCTCAATGAAAGGAGCCAAAGCGAGTGACTTCGCTTACATGCCGGGTGGACTTTGAGGCGTCTAGGCCGAGGTCCTGCAGGGTAGGCACCTTCCCGACCTCGACGCTGCTCAGCTTCGGCAGGCCCTTGAGCGTCTTGAGCGCGGCCGCGGTCTTGCGCACCTTCAGGTCCTTCACCTGAGCACAGAGATTGGGCGTAAGGCTGGTTGCCACAATTGCTGCAGGGTTGGCTGAACAACCAGAAGACTCACGATCGCAAAGTGGCCCGTTTACCCAACGTTAAGCTGCACAACTTGGCTGTTTGATGCTAGTGCCAGTGGCACGAGGTTACAAGGATGCGATGCCCCAGAGTCCAGACACGCTCAGATACGTAGCAGGTGCGACGCTCGGAAACGTAGCAAATTCTCGCTGATGCAGCGGTCATTATATCATCAAAGATGATTCGTCAGTAGCCAGGGGCAAAGGACAATGAAGCTTCGAACACTCAGTACCAGATAGATGCTGGGAGCCTCCGCAGAATGTACATAACAATGCCCCGCAACTGTTCCCTGAAGGCGGCGTAGTTGGGAGGCACCTTCTTACCAAACAACGCCCGAAGAAAGCTGAACAGCGAAACCGAAACATGCAAAGGAACTGTGGTCCTATAGATTTAGCATTTAAAAAAAAAAACGACGAGCCTCGCACCTGCTCCCTGAAGCCGGCGTAATTGGAGGGCATGCTCTCCAGCTTGAAGGGCAGGTCGTCGATGTGGTACAGCGTGCTGCCCCAGAAGAACTTGGCCTGCACGCCCGCGTCCTTGAGCGCCGCGCACACCTTGCGCTCCGACTGCAGTTCCTCGTGCGTCACCTCCTGGTGCGCAAACAGCGTCTTGGCGCCAGTCTTGCGCGCCAGGTCAGCCAGGACCTGCAAAGTCAGTTACTGAGGTGTTGATTGGACGAGGAAACCTTTCCGCACTTGGCTGCACATATGCTTAATAAAACCCTGCCTCCTGCTCACTTGCCTCGGCCTTAGGGGCTCGAAGTACTGTTACTTAGGCGAAACCTCTGAGAATCATAGTTGGCCGTTCGCTAAGTTCAACTTCCCCTTACTTGTCATAGCGTCCTTTTCACGAGACGATGCCACAGGCCGAAGATGATACTGGGCATGCTACTGACATCAGAGGCACGCAATGTCTGCAGATGAACCTCACCTCCTCCGGCTTCCCGATCCTGACAACCAGCTCGCTGCCCCTCTCCCGCAGGTTCTTGCGCAGGTCTGCGACGCACTCGATGAGGAACTTGGCCCGGTACGGCCCCGTCTTGTCGAAACCGCTCGAAGACTTGCCGTAGTCACGGGGGTCGAAGCAGTACACCGGCACGATGGAGCTCGACGCCTGCTGAGCCATGGCCAAAGCCTCGTTGTCGTGGACGCGCAGGTCGTTCCTGCAAAAAAAACAAAGATTTGATCAGCATGTAAAACGGCACAAGCAAAAGTTGAAAGCTTGAAATCGCATTGGCGTCTGATTTGACACATGCCAAGTTTCAAGGCTTGCAATCACTAGAGAAACTTGTGATTGGAAGACCAATGGTGTGTGTAGAGGTCTACGTAGAATGGGTAGCGGACTTAAGCGGAAAGCGCTAAGGTCAATTGAAGCTGAGTAGTCAAGCCTGTTTGAGATCGAATGCAAAGCCCTGGTCTTTGAAATGGAGCCAACAAACAGTTCATTCACGAAAGTGTAGTCAAAGGAGAGTAGACTTCATCAGGAATACTCCTGACCAGATTTCCGAAGTAGTTTCGATTAGGGTTTCTGATTGACAAAGATCCATAACCCGTAGGAACTTTGCTCTTCTTATGTATAAGAGCAATCCATTTCATACACCAACTGGTGCACCCCTCTCATAAAGGTACTCAGGCTTTCAATGCATGCTGTCGCTCTGGGAGCCCAGGGGGCTGCTGAGTTGCAAGCAAATCGGACAAAGACTCACCTGAACCAGACAATGGACACGTTGCGCGCCGCTGCCGCGCCCGCAGGCCCGGCGAAGTCGCCCCCCCGCAGCTTCTGCATGTCGGGGAACGCCGACAGCCCCATGAGCTTGTTGTTCGCCGCCGGCTTGCTCGGCGCCAAAACAGCCGCCGCGACGGGCGCGAACGAGCTCGCCGCCGACGACAGCATGGTCGTCTTGCTCGCGGCCGCGTCCCTCGCCGGCACGAGCGTCTTGGTGACCTTGATCGCGGGGCAGTCGATTGGGGACCGGGGGGCGATCATAGGGACACCCCCACGGAGGTTACGCAGCTTCTTGACCTGGGTAGCTGCGGCAGCCTGCAAGGCAGGCGCGAGCATGCTCGCGGCCGACTGCACGGCGATTGAGATCGAGGCGGCGCCCGCGACGTTGGGCGGAGGCGCGGGGAACGACTGCTGCACCGGGGCCTTGGGGGCTGCCTCCGCGAGCTTGGCGGGGGGCGCAGGGGCGGCCTCCTTAGTGGGGGCGCGCACGACCTGAATTTGAGAAGATACAAAGCGTCAGGATGATGGTTGCAAGAATGATTTGTGGAAGGAGTCTGAAAACATAATCGGACAGGAAAAAAACAGTTTTAGGCTTCCTGTTTTAAAAACCCTTCATGTGGGGCAGGGTTAAGAGCCGCAAAATGTCAGCAGGCTTGTTGACAAACTTTCAACAGCGCGACGGTTGCCTGGTAGGAAAACCTGATTCCTTTACCCTGGAGTTAGTGTTGAGAGACAGCGAACGCCGGGCATGTGGACTGAGTCTGAGAACATAGCTCAAAGAATTGGGGATATATCTAAAAATATCTTTCGCAATCCAAAGACGACGAGCCCATTTTGAGGTCCCTTTTGCTGCGCTTGATGGCGAGATGCTGGTTCTATTAGCAGTCTCATTGTGTCAAACCATCCGAACCTTGTCTCACAAGAACAAAATCCTAGCAGACACACGCAACATCTCTGCAAAATCCTGTGCCAAGGAGATGCCACCATCCAGAACTCACCTTCACAGGCGCCTGCTTGGGCAGGAACGCGGGGGCAGCATTGAAGCTGGCGACCGACATGTTGTGGTCCATGACCAGGCTCAGGTCCTTGAGGTCAGCGTCCATAGTGGTGGCAGGGACAAATGCTGGCGTCTTCTGAGCGCGCACGCGGCGCATCTCCTGACGAAGAGGGAAAAATGAGAAAGTCAAGTCAGGATGCTCCGTATGCTTGACAAGCAAAATGCACCTGGATGTGCAACATAGGCAGCGAGGTACAACATCGTATCTGCCAAACCCCCTGCTCAACACCGGAGCGTCAGTCGTTTCTTAGACTTTCTGCTGAAAAGACAAGGCTAATATGCGCTCTGTGTTGTCACACCGCTGCTCAGAGAGGATGCCAAATGCTCGAACAATAGAATAATCTGTCCCAGTATATCAGCAGCAGGAAGCGTGGAATATAACATCCTAACATTGAAGTCTTCACAGTTACAAAAGCTCACCTCCAGAACCACCTTCAAACCCTCCTCGCAGACTGAAGCACCCTCCAGCTCCAGAGGAATGACCCTGGACGGCACCTCAGCGCCGTTTGCGCCGAAGGCAGCGAGAACAGCAGCGCTGCGCTTGGCATACAGAGCCTTGCTCTCTTCATCGGCCTCCTCCTGAGAAAAAACAAAAAGTGAATGCCTGCGCCGTTCAGCATGTTCACGTTACCCTTGTGCAATTTCATTCATAAAGGTCTATGCTACAAGCCAGGCTTGACCATAGCCGACGTCAAGTTTATACATGACGCCTGCTAGTCATTTTCCTTTTCCATTTTCTCAAACTTCTACCAGCCTTTAATCTTTCTATGTCCTGTAGTCTCAAAATGGACAGCGCATGCAAGTGCTGCACAAGCCGTCAGTGCTTGATCAACGACATGCAGCATATCTGAAAATCAATTACTGGTGTACATATTGATTTCTGTCATGCGAAAATAGACGCAACGGGTGGCACCATACCTGAACGTGGCCGCAGGCAAAGACAGGCACCGCAGCATTAAGCAGCTGCGCGCCAAACTTGGCTCCCATCTCGCTGGCCACATCCACACTGCCGGCCTGCTGCAGAGCCTCTACGAGCAGCACGAGGTCCACCGTCTTCCGCTTCTTGGACAGGCTCTTACGGAGCTCCTCTACATCCTTAGCCTTGCTCAGGCCAGAGGCCTCGAGCACGACGACCTTGGAACCATTGATGGTCTGCACGCACTCCTCGAGCTTGAAGCGACCGGCGGAAGCCTGCGACGGATGGGTAACAACAGCTGGCTGCATGCCGCTCACAAGGACCAAGAAAACGCTTGATTTTCCACACTATTGGATGATGAAAGCACACAAAAGCTTTGCAAGCAGCATGCGGGAGCTCAACTACTTGAGCAAACACCTCTCAGATTGGTCAATGGCATGCTAGGAAGTCAAAAAGCTGGCAAGTGCATATTTATCCCCTTGCTTTCAAGTATGAAAGGCAGAGATGCTCTGCGTAGGGTTTATGAGGTTGTGGTACAAAATCCTGCCTACTGGAGCATCCATCACCCAATTTACCTGAATACAGCCACCAACAGAAGCAGCCGACAGGCACATGAAGGAAGTTACTCCGGAGTAATTACAACAAAAGCATATTCTTTCAACTCGATCGGGAAGGAGCAAATATAAGAAAAGCAAAGCCCAACCAGGCACTCTCAAGTGCACTGCGGTCAATATTTTTGGCACGAATGGATTCAATATTGCTTGCATCGGTGGCGCCTGTTCCAACCATTACCAGGGGCCGCACGGACTCAATCATGGCAAAAATTCCATGTTTGACAAATGCAGAACGACCCAAGTTTATCTTAGCTTTGCAAAGAAGGGAGACGAATGTGCGCATTTGCATCTTCTGAAACAGCCACTCTTGCAAGTAATGCTGACATGAATCAGAAACAGCAGATTGAATACGGAAACCCGTGAGCGAATGGCTAGGATAATAAACCTAAGCGGGAACCCACATGCTTGTCTCTTGGGTCAACAAGCAAAACATGCATGGTCGCTTGGAGTTGCATTGACTGCTAATATAAATACGTTGGAGCATTCGGCTTTTCTGGAACTGTGCCATACTCTTTGGTCATTGAAAACTGCATCATAACAAGCTATGCACAGTAGGGGTCCCCAAACCTGCTCCAATGCTTGCCCCTGTGCAGCCAACCATGGAGCCAACCACCTTTAGCAGAAAACAGTCCAAAAGAGATGCAAATGCCTCATTTTGGCAATACAATACGAGCAAGCTGCATTCGGTCAAGTAAAATCCACATTGCTCTGAGCAAAACTGCTTACCTCAGCAGGCTTCGCCGCCAGGAAATGTCTCCCGAAGACCGCATTCACAGTGGAGCTCTTGCCAGCCCCAGCAGGGCCAACCACGAGCACCGTCAAAGGGCCAGCTCCCACCAGAGCACCCCTGCATTCCTGGACGGAAGCCATGTCTCAGAAGCGCAACAGGCGAGTGACCAACGAGGTCTGTGCCTTCCACTGCGCCTTCAAGAGTGCCTTCCTCCTAGCTTTGCAGCAGGCGTCGTTTTCGAGCAGAAGAGCACTCTGCAACTGTCCTGCTCTGCTGAGCTAGCCGGGAACTAGAGCGGAAGGGCTCGTTCTCACTGGGCAACTTCAAAGATACTGAGGCGCGTGCGCGCGTAATTGTCTTTGCACGTGCGCGCAGAGACCGCCTGGCTCCGCCGTTGATCTGCTTTGTAGAGGTTGCTCAACGGTTCGTCGGGCATTTCAATTTGAGTTCGAAATGGGCGCCAGCTGGAAACACCCACCACATCAACACTGACAAAAGCACTTGCAACAGCATCAAAGCACTTTCAGAACTCTACACAAACTAGGTAGTGCTTGGGTGCGCAAAAAGCCCCTTGCATTGACATGTTGAGCCGCAGAAAGGTTCACAAGGAAGAGGTTCACTTGACATTTGGGTATGTGTGGCTGCACGGAGGTACATTTGCAGCAAAAGTAAGATCAAGTGCTTTGATAAACGCTCCTGTCTTGGTGCAACGGCGCCCCTTACCTCGGTTCAGATGTCCTCTAAGTCCCTCTGGGCTTGAGCAATAGTTCCTTGGAGACGATGAGAAAAGCTGAAAGCTTGCCTTAGGGAGAGGAGACAGCCACCGACGCTGATGGAAGCGCCTCCAGGAGGTTCCTCTATGGAGGAGCACGTGAGGCATTCACACAAGCCAAGAAAGGTAAGATGTTTCGAGGTTCACTCGTTTGGAACAGAGCTTTGATATTTGATTAAAGTCGCCTAAAGCTTTATACCTGAAGCCATGCTGTTGTAAACGATTCCTGAGAGCTCCGTAAGTTTTGATTTGAAAACCTGGTATGATTGAGATGTATGGGGACTGTGCCAACCTTCTAGTAAAATGAGAGAGCATTTTGCTGAATATCATCTGCAATCTGAACGCTTCTTGTATGGAAAGGAGTTAGCCTGAGGTTGCCATAATTCAAACTCAATACCTGGCAGCTGGTTCCATGTTATAAGCTCAGGGTTTCAGAAAGGAAGTTACAGCATGGGAGAAAGTTTTGTCCATAGAGAAACATGCTATGTTGTCTGAATATGAAGCTCTGCAAAGCATGCAATTATGCTGGGACAAAATCCTCAGTAGTCTGGCTGCCACTCGCAGCTCTAAACTATAAATCTAGAAGGTATTGTCCTGCACAGCTTGATCAGAGCACTCACTTTCCAAGCTGATAAGCAACTGGTATGGTTCTTAGCTGATGCATATGACTGGCTTGCAAATGCTGCAACTCTTTCAGTTTTAGTTGCTGGCAATGCTCCTGATTAAGCCTGAGAGCATGCTCGCCAGCTTCGTTCTTTTCTGTGCACTCTGTTCTTGCCCTCCTGCCCACATCCTTAGAGAAGCTTCTGAGCGGGCTAGGTGAGAGAACTTGAAAGAAAGGCTGTCAGACTGCATACTCACTCTTTGTTACAATAGCCAATTCAATAGGCCATGGCTCGTGAAGTAACGTATTGCAAACAGAGTTCCTACTGTGATAGATAAGCTGGACAGGTCTTGCGTAATAAAAGATCAGAGGCCTCCTTCCATATTCTCAATCTCCTTAGACTTTCTTGGGTCCTAAGACAGGAACCCCACTTATTCCAGCATCTTGCACCAGATACCTTTAACCTACCTCTCCTCCAACTGACCCCTCTTCCTCTATACTGCAGTACAAGAACCCCGCCGACCCACCCCTCTCCCCCAGCGCCATGCCTCCCCCCCGCAACACCAAACGCTCACGCGGTTCCCGCCGCAAGTCCCTGAAGCCCGCAGCCCCTGGGTCTTCGGACAACGTCTCCTCTGACGCCACGCACGAGTCTGTGTCCAGCTGGCGTCCGTCTTTGGGGACGCAGTCCTACAAATGGGAGCAGCAGAAGGGGCGCGACACCAGCTTTGAGAGCAGCAGCCGGCAGGGGCGGGGCAGGGAGCGCGACTTGGAGAGGAGCCGCAGCGCCAGCAGGCGGGCGAGGAGTGCGGCAAAACTGAGCGCCAGCGCTGCGAGGCTGCGCCAGGGGTCGAGCGGCGCGGACAGCGACGACTCTGTCAAGTTTATCCGGCAGCCAAACAACGGCGAATTGCGCAGAGTGCTTTCCGTAAGGTCTCTGGGGGAGGAGCCGAGTTTTGAGCAGCCGCATGAAGAAAGGGTCAGGGAGCGGGGCGGTTTGGAGAGGAGCAACACGGGGGAGAAGGGCGAGACGTCGTCTCAGCGAGCGCTCCGGACCGAGGGCGCGGTCGGCAGCGACACGTCTGTCGAGGCGCGGCCGCACCGGAGATCGAAGAAGCGGGACCCCGCTTTCGCGAGCGACTCTTCGTTCTCCTTCATGAAGGTGGACGAGACGATTGAGGAGGTCTGTGAGGAGGTTTCCACCATGCCAGTGAGCAGGCCCCGGAGTGAGCAGATTGTCCTGGCGCGTCCAGTGGACATCGCGCCACCAAACCTGAGGACAGGGCCTCTTGGCGACCGGCAGTTTGCGAAGCCAGGTAGAAATAGAGGGAATGTGCACGGAGAGGGGGATGGGGACAGCGGGATTGCGCAGCTGAAGGAGGGGAGCTTGAGCACAGAAAGCAACCCGCACCGACAGGCGAAGGGCAAGGTCCCGGCTAGCCCCGCGCGCCAAGGTGATGTCACCAAGGCGGCAGTATTTAGCCCCCCTGTCACGAAGTTGTCTGGGGCGTCCGATGTCGGCAGTCCCGATGAGGAACTGGTCGCAGGGGTCGTGGCCGGAAGGCGCCCTTTTCGGAGCGTTGAGTTCAACAGCGGGGGCGGTGTGCCTGCGTCCTGTGCTGGGGAGGTGGAGGAAGGTTCCCAAGAAGTTGCAGCTAACAAGCCAAAGGCGTCCAAGAAGGGTCACAGGGAGAGGAAAGCCCATCGCAAGCAGAAGGAGAACGTTGACACTCGCGCCGAGACCAATGTTGCTGCGGCGGCAGAGGAAAAGAAGGGTAGAGCTCGATCTCCGTTCAAGATGGCCATCTTTGGCAGGGGGCGGGAAGCAGGCGGTCATGACGGGGAAGGCGCGGAGGGGGTGGCAGCAGTCTCCAAGGAGCGCTCAAAGTCCCCATTCCGATTCCCTGGGTTTGGGCGGGCGTTCAAGGGAAGGGCACCTTCTGAGGAGGAGCACTTGGAGGGGAAGATGGAGAAACGGGCGCGGTCCAAGTCGCCCCTGTTTGGCAGGAAGCCTCAAGAAAAAGGTGGAGAACATGAGGAGCGGGCGCGCTCAAAGTCCCCTTTCAGGATGCCCGGGTTTGGAAAGCGGGCTGCAGAGCAAGGCGGAGGGGACGGCGTCAACGAGCGGGAAAGATCAAAGTCGCCGTTCAGTCGGCTGCGGTTTGGGGGCAAGAGCAAGGGCGGCTCTGACCCAACAGTCCCCGCCCCTAGTTCCGAAGCGGCTAACCTCCCAGAACCTGTGCAAAAGCCGATGGAGACCTACGGGTTTGACAAGAAAGTCCGCTTGTTGGAGGGGGGCAACGAAGAAACGGCAGAGGGGACCAAGGGTCCAGCAGCCGAAGCATCCAAGCGCGCCCGTTCAAAGTCGCCCTTCCGCATGCCCCGCTTTGGGAAGAAGGGGCCGAAAGAAGAGCCCCCAATGATGAGGGACCAGAACCACGTGGCAGCCGTGCAGCTGCTGTTCGTCAAGGGCCACCTGCCTGGCGGGGACCTCGCGCTTCTGAACCCCGTCGTGAAAACACGTGGCAGGTCCAAGTCGCCCTTCCAGCGGCCTGAACCGGTCCCGAAAGCGGCCGACCATGAAGCACCGGAGATGGCGACCAAGAAGCACAAGGAGGGCAGGGCGAGGTCGCCCTTTGCCCGGATGTTCTCGTCCAAGAAGGTGGGGCGAGGTTCGGACGCGGAGTACCGTCCAACAGCGGCGCCATCCGCGTGGACGGAGGGCCTGGTGCAGCTGAGCGACGAGGAGCCGGACGTGACGTCAGCACCTGCTCGGGTTGACGTCAGCGAGGCAGCCAAGGACGAGCCGGTCCCCCAGGCGGAAGCGGACGGGTCGTCGGCGCCAGCTCTCGCGCCCCAGCCCAGTGCCGTCAGCGAAGCCCCCGAAAACGAGCCGGTTCTTGAAGCCCCTTCGGATATCCAACCGATTAAAGCAGAGGATTATGCGGAAGAGGGGCCGGAAGAAGACTGGCGGCCGAAAGGGCTGCAAGCTTTTGGGGCTTTCGCTGCTGCGGAGGAGAGCGAAAACTTGCCAGAGGAGCCCGTTCCGGTTGTGGTCTCTAGGGTCTCGGCTGAGGAAGACGCAGCGAAGGCTCCCAAGAAGTCGCCGTTGAAGCGGCTTAAGTCGCGACAGCACAGGTAAGACTCTTGCTTCTCGTATCGGGGCGGCCGTGAGATAGAGTTGTCTTCCCTACTGGTTGCTCTTGCAAAGGGCTTTGATCGTAGAAATTTGCAAGTTAGCCGACGATTTGTTGTTAGTCAGTTCCTGCCAATCAGCCACGTCACTTTTGCACATCAGTCCTTTGTCTATCCTTTCATCGAGGCCACGCTCAGCTCCTTCTCTTCTTTAAAATCTTTGCCCCTTGTACAACCAATATGGACGACTCTGCTATCGGAGTGTTCAACTATCAGACTTCTCTTTGTTCCTTTATCCTCAAACAGTGCCAGGCAGTTCCAAAATGTTTTCACATGCTCAACGCCAAGGCCCGCATCCCCACTTCTGGAGCTTCTTGTCTCAGAATCTTTTTTTTTTTTTTTTTGCAGAGTCACCACTCCTATCCACGCCCCAGATGACGACATCCCGCCAGCCCCGTCAGCCACTCCCGCTGACATCGCCGCTGACGCGAGCGCGCCGGTTCTACTGTCCCCATCCGACCAGAAGGAGGTCGCGCGGCGCCTGGCGGCAGTCTCCGGCGGCAGCAAGGGTTTAGGGTTTTGGGAGTCCAAGGTCCGGGACTTCAACAAGCGGAAGGCCTCGCTCAAAACGCAACGGAGTCACAGCATGGGGTCAGAGGTGAGAGCTTCAGTTTGACATGAAGCATACCGCCTCCATTGTACCCGTATCTAAGCGAGACAATCGATTTGGAGCCTTCTGCGATCTACACCTGTGATCCACGAACTTGTTGGTAATTTTCCTCTTCCTTCTTTCTATTTTTTCCTTCTGGCATCCTCAACTAATCAGCTTCTAGTAGACATTCCGTTGACTCTGTCTCTTTTTTTTGAAACGCGTTCCATGCGAAGGCTACTATTTTGCAATGTGAAAGCAAAACAGTTTTACTGGAACTTGCATATACAGCAGAAGTGTCACCGTTCAAAGGAGACAAAGAGCTTGTCCGGGCCTCTCTACATACTCAGAGGTTCTCAGCGGTTCTTTTGGTAGAGTGTCTTCTTGTTCGCTGCCCCTGTCTCACGACGGTCTCCGACGGAAGCAACTGTAGGGCCCAGTATAAAAAGCTTTGACAATGAGTTAATTCAGCACCGCACTTTGGAAGAGAGGCTTTTCTTCAGGAACTTAGATCACCAAAGTCCGTTCTTCTCTTTCAAAATGTGGAACTGCGCATTCCGTGTTGCCGCCCATGCACGACAGACTCTTGCAACCATAGGGAATCCAACGGCCACTTTTTGCGCATTACAGGTTGCGAGCTGCGCCGGTTTGGAGGCCCCGTTGGAGCAGGACATGCCCGATTTTGCCGATGAGGACCCGCTGTCACCCGTGCCACAGGGCCCCACCAACTCCCCACCCAAAAAGCACCCGTCCCCCGAGCTTGCTGCCGTTAACATGACGTCAGACGCGGTAGCCCACGTTGAGCCGGGACACGTGGCAGACCCTGGGGTGTCGACGGAGAGCTTATTCACACTCGAGGTTGATAACGAGGCGCTGAAGTCGGAGACAGGGCGATCCGTTGTGACCACGAGTGTAAACACGCCCGGGTTCTCGGACCAAGGGGACGGCAGTGTGAAGTCGTCCCGTCCGGACGAACTAGAGGCGGGAGAGACGCGAGGTTCTTACGAGCCCCGTTTCCAGGAGGACGAACTAGAGGAGGGAGAAGAGGACCTGCTGGCCGCCAGCACCGACAGTGAGTGGGCGGCGATCCGGGCGCTTATGACGGAGGAGGAAGAGGCCCCGGAAGTGGATTCGCCGCCCGTTTCAAAACCAATTTCAGGCTCTCCTACCGACGTACAAGCCCCTCACAGGGCCTCGGAAGCCTTCGGGCTAACAGAAGGTGCCGCCGCTGTGACGTCATGGGGTCCGGGCGGCTCCGACGGCGACGTGGAGGCGGAGGGAGGCGCGTACGGGTCGCCGGAGCGGACCTTCTCCGACGAGTACTTTGGCTCGCAGGAGAGCGCGGGCGAAGCTGAGGTCGCCTTTTACTCCGAAGATTGGAAGGCTGTCGCCAGGGAGGAGATGGCGACCATGGATGTGGTGGAGAAAGGGAGCAAGTCGCCGAGAAGGAAGGGCGTGCTCTCGGGAATGAGCTCGTGGCTCAAGAGGAAGAGCCCCACCAAGGCCGCGGCTCCGGGTGGATCCCGTTTCGGTAAGCTCCGTTCCGTTCCGCTTGTGACGACGAAGCATTGTAGGAGTGAAACCTGTCATCTCAGGCCTGTCCTTATTTCGCGCACCAAATGCTTCCATTGCAATTGGACGTGTACCCCGTCCGCTCGTTCGCGAATAGTCCCACTCCTGATGGTTACATATTGTGAATCGCAACAAGTCAGTCTGAAGGCACAAGCAAACGCAGCGGGCGCCCGATAGAGCTCGTAGGCACATCATGAACCTGCCGCGTTCGGATATCTGGACGTTTTGGCCGTGTAGGTACTTCTTAATGGACGGAATCGTTGGAGGAAAGACTGGTCCGGCTGCCACCTCTGCGCAAGAACGTTGAATCTGTTTTATCTGCTCCCAGTTCTAAGCTTTCAGCATGTCGGTATTATTTAGAGCCGTTTGACATTTCCCCCAATCCTCTTGTTTCAGCCGTGCGGGACAGCAAGGAGGGGCTGGCTTGGGACGGCGGACTGGACCAGTTCTTGGTCAAAAGAGAGGCGCTCCGTGCGCCGCCCGAGATCCGACCTCGCGAGGTGAGGACGTATGCATAAGCTTACGCCTTTATGAGCAGGTGACGATGTAAACTCATTCGCTTGAAAGCCCTCGTGAAAGGAGCACATTCCATTTCAAGCTCACCTTGGGATCAAGTAATGCTGACGGGTTTTTGGAAAGGAGTTAATGTTAGCGCAGTATGATCGAGGCCCTTTTCTTCGACAGACCAATCTCTGGCCTGCCCGGAAAAGCTACCAAGACCAAGTCTCCAAGGAAGGTATTTTGAAAGGCAATTGCAAATCAAAAGAGCAGAACTTCAAGCTGGGCGCTCGGCCACTCACTCGCTACCTGAGTTTGGATCTGCTTACCGTCGTCCGCCTGGACAACTGCTTGCAGGGGCATCCAAGCGGTTTCCAGAATGTTTCCTTTTGTGGGACCTCTCTGATTGCGTCTCCATCACTTCTAGACCGCATCTGATCCTTGAACTACTGGACGCCGCAGGTCGCTGGTCGCATCTCCTATTCGGACCTCGTCGGCATCAGCAAAACCCCCGAAACCCTGCCGAAACCGGCGGCGCCCGCCGTATCGCACCAGAACGACGCGACGCGGTCGATCCAGGAGCTGGTCGCCGCGTTCTACAGCCTGGGCAGCTCGGTGGACCTCAAAGCAGGGGCGACCCCGCCCGCGAAAGAGTCCCCGGGCCCCGTAGTTGACGAGACCGGCGCTGAAATGGCTGTGCTGGAGCGGCATGGAGTGCAAGAACAGGGCCCCGAGGAGGGTCTGGCGAAGATCGTCGAAGAGAGCGAAAGTGACGAGGAGGAGGACTGTAAAGACCTGGGGTCCTTAGGAGCTCCGGCGGAACTCCGAGGACCGGAAGCGGAGCCGGACATTCCGCCGGAGTGTGCCGATGAGTCGGACTCTGACGAGTGGGCAAGCGACGGGGACGAGCACGATGATCAAGAGACACGGGACGCTATAGCCGGCGATGATACACAGGACGCACAAGGGGAGCGGTCGCCCACAAAGGAAGGGGCTCAGCCAAACTCCTCCGTGTTTATCCCTGCGCCCATTCACACCATTCCCCGCAGAGAACCCGAAGCTTTTGCTGTCAAACGGCCCTGTCTGTACCTGGATCCTCCACCCTCCCCGCACCTCCGCGCGCTCGAAGCCGCGCTCGCGCGCGCCCAAAGCCCCAAACCCTGCGGCCGCCCCACCGAGATCCCCCGACGGCTGCGCTCCCCCGAGCCGCTGTCGTGCGAAGACGATGACGAGGTGCTTTTGGGCGACGAGGAGGCCCTGTCAGGCGCGAGTCTGTCGCCGCAAACTGCTCAGAGCCCCGAGACGGGCGCGACGAGCCGCGCGACGCGGCCGCGCCTGAGCTGGAGCGCTACGTCGCCCGGGGAGAGCGCGGAGGACCCGCTGAAGCTGTGGCGCGCGATGGCGTACCCGGACGGTAAGCGATGGTCCCACCGTCCGTGTCATAACTTCGCTTGTGGCAACGAAATGCAAAAAGGTTAGGAATACGACGTGGAGAAGTTAGGATCCAAGGCGTGGTTATGGAAAATCGTCCGCCTTGAAGGGATTACGAATAGGAGGTCTTGAGCTCTGGGGAAAGTCGCCGGTAGGGCAGTTCATTTTCCACAAGAGGCGGATTGCTACTGTCTCTGCAGGAGCCTTCGACTACGTGGGAGTTGCAAACGGACGTCCCGTGAGTCTTGTGTCTAGCTTGGATTTTGCGGAAGAGGGTCGTTACCAGTACTGCTTCAAATCTTCACACAATCCATTCTCATTCTATTCAATTCTCATCTTGTTCCATTCTTCTGTGGTGGTAGTGATAGACCGAGTGAATCTAGTATGCGTCGTGCCAGACGGATCAGCAGATTGAAGAGAACAAGAGAGGGCAGTAGACTTACTGCAAACTCTTCTAGCCGCCTGCTGTAAGCTTACTCCAAATCACGCTAGTGTGAATATGAAACAAGCCTGTAGAGCGGGCGTCATTTCAGGATCATTCCCGCCGACATCGCAAGAATTTGCCCTCGCAACCTACGGAGTCCACCCACAATCCCCTCCTTCTTTCCATGCAGGCCGCGCCAGCGTGAACCTGGAAGAGGCGCTCGAAAGCCGCCGCCACCTGGGGCTTGCCCCGGCCGACGTCGCGCTTCTCCGCAGCGCCGACCGATCGACCAAAACCCTCGCGAAGGGTTTGGCGGGCCTGGAGCCGCTTCCGGAGGAGGGCGCGCCCGCGGCCGACCGCGCTGACGTCATTCCAGACGGAGACGCAAGCTCGGAGGGGGATGCTTGCGTCGGTGCGGACGAGGGCCCGGGTTCCGAGGGGCGTGCTGACGTCAATCTTGACGAGGAGCTGGGCGTAGAGTGCCTTGCTGACGTCACGATAGAAGAGGAGGACGGCCAAGAAGTGGGCGATGGTAGCGCATTTGAATCGGAGACGGGCTCTGTCGTCACTCATGACGACTATGTGGGCGCTGACGGACGTGCTGACGTCACCATCGACCAGGAGACGCACAAAGCGGAAGCGGAAGCAGACTTCAGCGCGTGCGCGCCCGTGGGCAGAGAAGCGGAAGAGGGACGACGTGCGCATGATGACGTCGGGCTGACGGCAGGGTTTGACGGGGCACGCTCGGAGATTGCGGCCGCCGTGGACCGGTGGGGCCCCACGCCTGTGGTGAAGGAACAGGTGGGGCTAGATTACACTCCGAACTAGTTTTTGGGACCGTGTTCCCGCTAATCCCAAGGGGGTGACGTGGGTATGGGCTTGGATGACGGCAGTGTGGAACTGTTGTAAGTTGTCAGATTACGAAAACACAATCCCGGTCGTGTACAAAATCGGTTTACAACAAAAGATCAGCCCGTTTGCAGTCTGGATTCCTTGTCTTACCTGGCCCTATATATGCAGCGTACGACTCTGATAGGATTTACATTGAGCAGCTACGCGCTCACAAACTTGTTTTGAAAAGGCCTGCCGCAAACGGAAATACACTTGAGTTGCAACATGGCTAATTTTGTCCTATCAATCTGTCAGGTCAGTACGAAAGTCCTGAGATCAGAATGTCGAGGACTCTGGCCCACGGTTGGTTTTATCTGCACCAGGCCTCTCCCCTCTCTCGTATGCGAAATTTCTTGTTCCTGACAGGCTCACATGGGACAGTTTGTCTTCAACCAGCAACCTCGCTTTTTCTACTGCTAACGGCGGTTTTGCTCCCAATCAGGTCCAACTGATCCTCGCGCAAAAGTGGGACGAGTTCATCCGCGACTTCGACGCGCCATCTGAGGCCCCGTCGCCACGCTCGTCTCCCGGGAGACCTCCCCTTTCGCCCGAGGAAGCGAATTCGCCCGCCAAAACGGGGCCTGTAGCCGAGTTACCGGTCGCCGTCGAACTTAATGAAGAAAGTTCAACCCCCGAGCGTCACTGCCCCGAGTCGGAGCTTCTTAAGACGGAGACCGGCCAGGAAGAAGAGGATCTTCTCGGTGTAGGGGGGCCGGAGAAGCAGGAAATGGAGCCCCTCGGGACGGATGTGGGCGACGAGAAAGCCGGTCCTGAAGGTGGGCTCCCTTTGGCGGCTGCCGAAACTGCATTGGATCCTGTCGAGCCTGGGTCGCCCGGGGGGGTGACGCAACCGAACGCCGGCACAGACGGTTCCGCTTCCGGACAGCCTTCCGCAGATTCCGGCGGAACATCTGGCAGCGATGCTCCGGCAGCAGTCGCGGTTGCTGCGGAGGTCAGAACCACCCGGAGCAACAAGGGGGGCTTCTTCAGCACGGCACGTGCCTGGCTAAAGGGGTCCAAGTCTCAAAAAGTCGAGGCAGTGGGGGATGACGTCAGCGGAGGGTTCAGCGCAAACCCCGGCTTTGACCAAAGGGTTAGCGACGAGGCTATGGAGGAGCAGATGCAGGCGGTGATCGCGGAAGTGAAGACGGTCCTCGGGTCGCCGGGAAGGGCTGACGTGGGCAGCGAAGAAGATGCGCCCGAGGCGGATTTGATCGGTGTCGCACTTTCTGCTGACGTCACTGCTTCGGACGCGCCCACGGGAGTGTCGGCCAATGCCGTCGTAAACCCCCAAATTCTGGTGGCGGCCACTGTGCCGGCCGCGGCCGAGCGCGGCACGCTGACTGGAGAGCCAACCGTGGCAGAAGCTGCTGACGTCAGCCCGGTGGAGGTCTGCGGGGATGTAGGCGCACGTGACATGATGCCAGCTAAGGGTGACGGAGAAAAGGCACGGGGCGAGGCGGCTGAGCTTGTCGTGGCAACGGAGACGGGTCCGCACGTTGGGCCGGCAGGCGAGACGAGCATAGAGGAAACGTCTGATGGTTTAATGGGCATCGGAGAGGAAATCGGCGCTAAGTCTGGCAGGCATGGGTGTGAACTGGCTCCGCCACAAGAAGAGCGGAACGTTCCTTCGGAAGAGCTTGCAGTGGAGAGGGTACAACCTCTGGCAAAGTCGGACGGACTCACGGCTCCGGAAAACCTACTCGGAGGGGTAAAGCAGGTGGAAGGAGAAGCCTTGCTCGATACAGAGGGAGAAGGGAGCGTGCCAAAAGAAGAGGCCGGAGACGAAGTCCAGGCCATGGAGAGTCCGGGAAAAGCGGAAGGGGTCGCGGATAGCCTTGAACTGAAGGACACGGTGGCAAGAGATCCAGCGCTTGTACTGGGGATCGCACTGCCTAAAAATTCCCAGGAGGTCGCGCTCGAGGAGCCCCTGCCGGAAAACCCGGTAGACGTGTCCGAGGCCCAGGAAGTGCAAGCCAACCTAAGTTCGAACCTGTCTGGCGCCTCAAGTCTGGACAGTTTGGAGTCCGGAACGAGCTTGGAGGCCAGTAACCCGGAAATTGAGGACGAGTTGCCCTTGACCCAAATGTTAACCCACGGTTCCAAGGCGCGGGGAAGCAGAGACTTTGAAGCCGTGTCAGCGGTGACCGAGACCCTAACCCTGAGCTCAAACCCCATTTTCGACAGCGAGGAAGAGTGGGGCACGGTGATTCCGGACGTCCGGACCAGTGACGATAACCAAATCGGCCGGCGGCCCTCCCTTGAGCCATTGGACGCCAACCGGGCCCCTTTTACGGCGACCGAACGGGCCTCCCCGCCCGTCGAGGGTCGCCGTGTCCGGCTGGAGGAGGGCTTCCAAGACGAAAATGGCGCGGCCTGGCACCAGAAAGAGGCGGGAGGACTTTCACCGGATCGCACACGCTCCGACGCGCAGAAACTAGGGGCGAGGGCAAATCTCGACAGGGAATGCCAGCTCAGGTTTGGCAGCCAAAGCGCGCCGACTCTGACGGCTCTCCTCCCGACCACCCTAGCTGCACGGCCCCCCATTCGCCGCGGCTCGAAACTGAGCAATGACGCCGTCCAAGCGGCGAGAGAAGGCGCCGACGCGGCCGCGGCCGCATTCCCGAGGTCTGGGGGTTTGGGCGATCTGCCGGCCGCGCTCCAGGAGGAGCTCGCGGACTTGCGCGCGCACAAGGAGCGCCTGGAGGCGGAGAAGGGCGCGATCGAGCGGCGGTGGAAGGCCAGCCGCAAGGTGAGGGGCTCCGTGCACCTTATTTTGAACTTCGCAGTCCAAATATCACGCAAACAAAATCGTACGAAAGTACCTCTGAAACATCAGCTTGTCGATAGACTACTGTACCCAAATTTGATCTGGTGAAGCGCCTCTCCAATGATGCGGAAACCTCCTCGTAGCCTTTCTGCTTCCTGCACACACTCCGGATCTTTGGCAAGGCTGCTTGAAATGCAGCCTCCAGCGATCGGTACTCCCCGTCCACTTTGTCTTTGGATATGATCATCTTCAGAGAAAGAAGCTGCACGACGCCCCAACATACTCGAAACCGGCAGGTGAATGTTTCTCTATTTTACAGTTTTCTTCGAGTCTTTACGCAGGAGCTGAAGGATGTCCAACAACATACGAATGGGCACTTGCTAAGATTACCAAAGCTTACGATCCTCCTGTTGTCTACGCAGGAGCTAAAGGACGTCCAAACCTACTCGGACGGGCTGGAACGGGACATGGACACGATGGCTGCGCTGCTCAAGGCCGCGGAAGAAAACGTAGGTCAAAAGGTAAGTCCTGCGCTCGTTTTCTTAAAAGACACGGAGCCCTGCCATCTTCAAGAATTTTAAGGAAGCACTCTTCCTCTCCGGTTAATGTGGAGCTGACTGTTTTGATTCCAAGTTATATCCAGCCAGGACGTTTGCATCTACGATAAACGTCGTTGCGAACAGGTAGTTTGTTGCGAGCCAAGATGATCGACTGTCACGTCCGAAATAGAGGTAGAATAAGGTCTTCTCCATTTGCCGTCTTGTTTGCACGTTCCCTTGCTCTGCAGCTCCCTCATGCTCAGCACGCATGGTCAAGGATTCCATGGTGATTTTCACGACGAGGAAAGTAACAACCATTCTGTCTAATTTCCAGGCCGTTACGCAAGACGCCGCCGTCGCGACCGAGCCGCCGCGCCTCACGGACACAGCCTCCGACCCTCTCCCCATCCCTAGTTCCGACAAGTCCGTTGCCACCGACGCCGTATCCTTCCTTGAGAAAGGCGTCTCCACCGAGCCAGGCCCCGTCCTTCGCCACGTGGCAATTGCCACGGAGGCAGTCTCCCTGTCAGAAAAGGCGACCTACACCGAACAAGGCCTCGGTGTGCACGACGTTTCCGTTGGCACGGACAGAGTTCCGCTGCAGGAGAGAGGAGTCTGCACGGAACCGGGCCCCGTTTTGGCGGACGTCGCAGCGGGGCCGGACTCCGTTCTCGGGACGGCGGAGAAGTCGACCGGAACGGAAGCGGGCCCTGTTCTGGTGCACGTCGCAGCCGGGCCACATAACGCACTAAGCACTAAGGATGAGTCAACGGCGACTCAACAAGGCCCAACAAGTTTTGAAAGAGCGGCGGGACCGGATGAAATGGTCGTCCTTGTTGAGAAATCGGTCGGCAGAGAAGCGGTTGAGACGCGGAAAGACGTCGAGACAATGGCGGGACCGGGGCTTGACACCAAGAGGGGTTTGGCTGCGGCAGGAAAGGAGAGTGTCAAGTCCGTCGTTAGGAAGGAAGAGAAGGGGACGGGCACGGAAGGCCTCTCCGAGGTGAGCTTGTTAATTGGAATCTCTAATCCTTGACTTCCTTTCAGCGGACCTCCACGGAAATGAGTAAGTACTGTGAATGCAGCAGGAAAAACTCAATGCACGCAGTGCGACCGCCGAATCTTGGAAGCAGGCGTCGGCGCTTAACTTTTATTTGTTAACTGCTACGGTAATCTGACGTTGACGACGACTTTGGACGCAAGATGGCAAGCGTCTCGGCACGATCCGCTCCCCTCAACGCCGCTCTCAGGCGGAGGAAATTCAGAGCTTTACACCCTCAAAGTTTCCAAGATGCCACACCCCCAAAAGGAGTAGATCTCCTCGCAGACGGCCATCCTGGAGCACAAGGTACACCTGCTCAGGAACCACTTGGAAACTTTTGAACCTCCCACTCCTTTGTAATAACCCTGAACCTATAAGCTTCCCGCAGACGGCCATCCTGGAGCACAAGGTACACCTGCTCAGGAACCACTTGGAAACTTTGAACCTCGCACTCCTTTTCATTACCCCTGAACCTATAAGCTTCCCGCAGACGGCCATCCTGGAGCACAAGGTGCACTTGCTGCGGAGCCAGATCAAGGAGGCGCGCCTCCAGCGGGACTCCCTGCAGAAGGAACTAGAGCGGGCGGCCGAGGAGAAGGCCACGCTCGCGAGCGCGCTCGCGGAGAACGAGAAGCCCAAGGTGAGGGTGCGCGGTAGTGTACTAGACCTTCTTACTCAGAGGTTTCAGCCGCGAAAACTGGAGACTTTGCGAAATGCTGGTGTGGCAGCCGTCGGTCGCCCTTCCTTTATCTGCTTTCACGAACTAGTTCGTCGATGACTTTGCCTTTGGTTGCCCCTTACTGGCATTCTGGAGTCAGCAAAGGTAGTCCGCTACTCCGAGCTGAAGGTCTGAAAAGTACCGAGATCTTAACAGCTTTTGCAAGGCTAGCCTTTCCGAGCTTTTCCCTCCTATGCAGTAGCAGTCTGAGAAGAACAAAGTTTGAAAAGAAGGTTTGCTAAACCTCGTGCAACTGCCGTCAAAGAAATCTCCCGTCTCTGCAGGCCCCTCGCGATGCCCCCCAAGAGATGCACGAGCTCCACCGCAGCCTGGCCAAGTGGCAGGCACGTGCCCAGAGGGCGGAGCAGGAGCTGACACGTGTCGCCAAGGTAGAGAACGAACAAACGCCTGCCGCGGTCAAGGACCACGCGTCGCCCCTGAAACAAAAGTCGCCGGTCGCGCGCGCGCTTTTCCCGTCCGGTTCACCAGGGAAGAAAGGCTCGGCGACCAAGTCGGGGGATTCCCCCGGGGTCAAGCTGAACGGGATCCCGGAGGAGACGCTGGCCGGCGAACTGGACGGCTGGAAAGAGCGGGCGCTGGTCGCCGAAAAGGAGACTGAAAAGGCGCAAAAAGTGCGCGGTGAATCTGAGGCGGAGGCCGCGGAACTGCGCGGGAGAGTGCGCAGAATGGGCGACGACGCCGCGCAGATGCGCGAGGAGATTGCGATCCTGCGCAGCACGCTGGAGATGCAGGTAGATCGCCGCATATTGTCGCACTGGTTCTTTGTTACTATCGGCTGAACTGATACGGATTGCCTCTTGTCTTTACAGTCTAGCCTGTTCTATTCCTGGACATATTTTTGCTCCGCTTTTCTCAGTTTCTGAAATATGGGCTAATCGGAATAGGTAAACCGTGGGCACCGACGTCCGGGAAATGATACCTTTCGTTTCTAAAAATGGGCGTAGGTCATGCCAACTCTACGCTGAAAAAAGCTGATTGAACGGTGCCGAGACCCTCACAAAGCTGCCGTCCAAAATCGAACCGTTGAAGTAATGACGCCATCGAAATAGCGGCTAACGCCAGGCAAATCCCGACGCCCTTTTCAGCATTCTCAAATGGTAACAATCTACCTGATGCAGACGCTGCACGGAGGGGCGAAGGGTTTGGAGGCGGAGGCGGCCGCGCTGAAGGACGCGCTCGCGCGCGAGCGCGAGCAGCACCGGCTGGAGAAACTAGAGTGGCGGGAGACGAGCGCGCGGCTGAAGACGCTGCTCGCGTTTTGGCCGGAGGAGGTGTCGGACGGCGTCGCGTCCGGGCAGCGGAATCCGGCGTCCCGGCAGCGGAACTCGGCGTCCGGCGAGCGGAGCGCGCAGGGGAGCAACGGCGGAATGGCGAACGACGATCTGGCGGACGGCGCGGCGAGCCCGATCCACGTGGCCGCCGCCCTCGCTGCCACGTCGGCGGCTGACGTCAGGGACAGCAGCGAGAGCTCCAACCGCGAGTTCGGGGGGTTCTCCGCCGGTCCGACGGAGTCCCCCGAGCTGTTTGAGATTGATTCCCGGTCTGTTCACCCGCTGTCCCCGAAGGAGAAAAGCGTCCGGGAAAATGGTACCGAGTCGGACAAAAGTGAGGAGGTGCAAAGCGGCGCACAAGACGCGAAGTGGTACGCGAAGGGTTTGGCGGTGTCGGAGGCGGCCGCGGCGGCGCGGTCGACGGCGGTGACTAGCAACGGGACGCTGTTCGCGCGCAGGACCGGCAGTCCGAACAAAGCCCTGTCGGTGGTCGTTGCCGGGAATGAAGTGCTAGCGGAAAAGCGTTCCGGTTCCGGCGTTCCGGCTGACGTCTTTTCGAGCAGGAGCGTCTCGCCTGTGCTCCGGTCGGTGAGCCCGGCCAGCGCGAGACGGGGGGTCGGTTCGCCGGTCGGAGGGGCCATCCTGGGGAGAAGCGCGTCGAGGAGGGCGGCGGTGTCGTCTGCCGACAGTATGGGGAACAGGTGAGGACCAAAAACGTGCTCATAAAGTCGGCTCCGAAATACTATCCCAGGATGAGGGCTTGAAGAAGTGAGCAGTTCTGCGAAGGTGCTCCTAAGTTGTCACTAGCAGCGAAGCATCGAGTGGACCGTCACAGCAGCGCGTGATGCATGCCGTTAGGGCTGAGACATTCCGCCTCGCGTTCAGCTGAGAATTGTCTTGCTCGCGTTGTCGTTAGAGGAGGGGAGCGGTTCTTGAGGTTACAAGACCATGCACGAGACGAAGTTAAGCTCCTGACGATCTCGCTACTGCAATTTTTTGGGGTAACGGTATCGTATCGCTTGGGTCAGTTAGTCCTTGCATCTTTCTGATCTGCCATCATTGGACTTCTTCACGATTTGCTGATCTAGAACGAGTTTTTGGTTAGGCACGACAGTAATCCTCACCATGTACGGGCCTAACCCGTGCAGATACGGCAGTCCCCTCAGCCCCGCCAGCACCAGGTACTGCAGACCGTCTCTTAACCCATCGCAATGACTCGTGCAAAGCTTTTCTAAACCTAAACCGTAACCCTAACCCGTGCAGGTACGGGAGTCCCCTCAGCCCCGCCAGCACCAAGGACGGCAGACCGTTTCTTAACCCATCTCAATTACTCGTGCAAAGCATTCCCAAACCTTACCCCTAACCCTAACCCGTGCAGGTACGGTAGTCCCCTCAGCCCCGCCAGCACCAATTACGGCAGCCCGGGGAGTAGTCCTGGGTCCGACTGGGCCAGCGGCCGCGACTCCATGGACACGTGGCGCGTGAAGAGTGGCCCGCTGACCAAGACCATGGAGTGCGCGTCTCCGGTCCGGCCGCGGCCGGGCCACGTGGCAGAAGCGACTTCATTTGGCGTGAAAGTGACGTCCCCGGGCGGTTATGCAAGGACGGTGGAGGAGTTGACGTCGCCCGGGAAGGGATCCCCCGGCAAAGGGTTCCGGGACCTGCCGAGATGGGGGTCGAGGTGAGGAGCGCCGAACAGGGCTCCGTCACATTCCTTGAAGTGGGTTCGTTTTCATTTGGCGAAGAAAGCGTCCACGGCTCTATACTTGCTGTCCTGAGAAGTTCAAAGCAGGGGTTTCATACACTCTTGTTCTGGAAGGGCTTTGTATTGCGTGCTCTTAAAGAGCACGTCGGATTTCAAGGGTATCCCACGTGGTTTCCTGGCGACCACTAAGGTGCAAAGGCAGCTTCATTGTCGCTGCTCGGGATTTCGACTTGGCAGATCGCGGCGACACAAACAGCCGCAACCCACGCCTACGGGTCGCTAAATGCGGATGCATCCGCTGACGCCCTCTTTAAACACAGAGACGGAATCGAAGTGCAGCGACACTCAACTTTGCGAGACGCTTCTGGAAACATGTTGAAGTTAAGCCCTAAACAGCTGTCTCTTAGTAGCTGGTTACTCAGCGAGATTCGGAGTCTATAAAGACAAGCAGCAGCTAAGTGAAGTCGAGCTGGTGGGATGGATCCTTTTGTTAACCCGCTCTGGACTGGCAGCTTCGATCGAAATTCTAAGGCTGTTCTTATTGCGTGCATTGCAGGGACTCCGCTGAATGGGCCAAGGCTGTAGAAAGGCGCGACATGATGGTGGCAATGGACGTAGAAAAGGAGGCGCCCATTGTCAGCGAGAAGAAGTCGTCTAAGCGCCGGAGCTCAAGGAAGAAAACGCACACAGCTTTTAGTACCAAAGGCTAAATCTTTTGGCCAGAGCTCTAGGCACGGCAAACAGGACGCTATTTCGTTTTGCATCACCCGCATCCGTTACAGGTGCCAGTGTTAGTGTTAGTGTTAGTATTAGTGTTCGGGTTTTCTATTGTAGGACTGCTTTTAATGAACCACTGGAGAGAGGCTTGCGAAGGCCCTGGGTGGCAAGGTACTCAGAATAACTGAATAGGAACCCGTGATACCGTTTTGAGGTTGAGGCGACTTGCAAGTCGGAAGTCGGAGCTAGTAGGGACGCAAACTATCTGCATACCCCGTCATGAGTGCTCAGCTCACTTGGTTGAGGACTGTAGCAATCGGAGTTGGTGTGACCAGATTGACGCTGTTGACTTTGTCGTGACTTAGCACAGCGTCCAACGTTACGCAAATGCATCCTGCAAAGTCCTACGTCACTTCTAATTGCCATCCACCGAGACTTCAGTGGTACCCGCATACGCTCAATGTGACAACATCTCAAGCAGCCCGACGTTGTGATCGGGTGGCACTACATGTATGCGTACGTTACTGGCGGTGTTGTTACGCCAATCCTCACCCAATGCCATCCGTAAAGAGCATGGACAATTAGTGCTGCGGTTTTGAAGGTGACCGTCGGTGAGTTACATTTTACCCAGTTTTGAATGGGCCAATATTGCTTTTCATGACAAGCTTGCATGCATGGCCGGGGGCCTGTCCGGTCCATCTGGAAAGAGAGGCTCGGCGACCAAGTCGGGGGATCCCTCCGGGATCAAGCGGAACGTACGGGACCCCGGAGGAGATCCGCTGGCCGGCGAACTGGACGGCTGGAAAGAGCGGGCGCTGGTCGCCGAAAAGGATACGGAAAAGGCGCAAAAAGTGCGCGGGGACTGTGAGACGAAGGCCGCGGAACTGCGCGGGAGAGTGCGCAGACTGAGGGACGACTCCGCGCATATGCGCGAGGACATCGCAGTCCTGCGCAGCACGCTGGAGATGCAGGTAGATCTCCGCATTTTGCCGCACTCGTTCTGGTTACTATCGGCTCAATTTACACGGATTGCCTCTTGTCTGCAGATTTTAGATTGTTTATGTTTTGAACAAACTTCTGCTTGCTTCTAAATCCTGAAATAGTTCCCATGCTCAAAAGATGACAACCACGCAATTTTGATCGGCTGTTTATTACTTAATGTCCCAAATATATCCACAGTCTGAGCGTCGTTCTTATTTGCACGAAAGCTCTGCTTTTCTCAGATAGATGGACGATCAGGAATGCTCATTTAGTGTGGTGAGTACGCGAGTGGACGGCCGGAGATATCGTACTTCTTCGTGCCCCAGACATTCTCAGATCTTGGCAATGGACCTGATGCAGACGCTGCACGGCGGCGCGAAGGGTTTGGAGGCCGAGGCGGCCGCGCTGAAGGACGCGCTCGCGCGCGAGCGCGAGCAGCACCGGCTGGAGAACCAGAGTGGCGGGAGACGAGCACGCGGCCGAAGACGCTGCTCGCGTTCTGGCCGGAGAAGGTCTTGGACGGCGTCGCGTTCGGGCAGCGGAATCCGGCGTCCGGACAGCGGAACTCTACGTCCGGCGAGAGGAGCGCGCAGGGGAGCAATGGCGAATGACGATCTGGCGGACAGCGCGGCGAGCCCGATCCACGTAGCAGCCGCCCTTGCTGCCACGTCGGCGGCTGACGTCAGGGACAGCAGCGAGAGCTCCAACCGGGAGTTCGGGGGATTCTCCGCCGGCCCGACGGATCGTCCCCCGAGCTGTTTGAGATCGATTCCAGGTGTGTTCACCCGCTGTCGCCGAAGGAGAAAAGCGTCCGGGCAAAAAGAACCGAGTCGGGAAAGAGCGGAACTCGTGAAAAGCGGCGCACAAGGGGCGAAGTGGTATGCAGGGGGTTTGGCGGTGTCGCCGGCGGCCGACGGCAGTAACTAGCAAGGGGACGCTGCTCGCGCGCAGGACGGGCAGCCCGACCAGAGCTTTGTCGGTGGTCGTCACCGGGGGAGAAATGTTGGCGGAAAAGCTTCCCAATTCCGGCGTTCCGGCCGACGTCTTTTCTCCGAGCAGAAGCGTCTCGCCTGTGCTCCGGTCGGTGAGCCCGTCCAGCGCAAGAAGGGTGGTCGGTTCGCCGGTCGGCGGGGGCCCCCTGGGAAGAAGCGCATCTAGGAGGGCGGCGGTATCGTCGGCTGGCAGCATGGGAAGCAGGTGAGGAGAGTGGTCAAGAGCAGTAAGTGCTCACGAGATTGCTCAAAGACGAGTTTCAAAGTTCGATCAGAGGGACAAAGCTTTGCTGGTAAGCTCCATGCAAATCATTGCGAGCATCGTAAGCAACAAGCGGGCCAAACACCGCAGAGCCTGATCTGTGATTTTTGTTGTTCAAACTTCAGACCTGACATTCGGGTCAGATGTTTTGGTTGCATCTGTCCTGATAAGAGAGGGAGCCGTTTTCAAACTTAACGGGCCAAGCAAGAACGAGTTGGGCTCCTGCGAACCTTTGCGTTGAAGTCTAGGGACAGTCCAAATCCTCGTGAGTCCAGCAACCTATCCTGGAATCACTGCAACGTTCCGCACATTTCTAATAAGCCTTTGTTGAAAATAACATGTATCACCGTGCAGGTACGGCGGTTCCCTCAGCCCCACCAGCACAAAGAGCGGCAGATCTTTTCTTAACCCATCTACCTTCGGATCTTGTTGACACCGTGCAAAGATCTCCAAACCTTAACCCTAAACCTAACCGGTGCAGGTACGGCAGCCCACCAGCACCAAGTCCTGCAGACCATCTCTTAACCCACTTCAATGACTCCGAATCTCTCCCAAACCTTAACTCTAAACCTAACCCGTGCAGGTACGGCAGCCCCCTCAGCCCCACCAGCACCAGGTACGGCAGCCCGGGGGGTAGCCCCGGGTCCGGCTGTGGCAGCGGCCGCGACTCCATGGACACGTGGCGCGTGAAGAGTGGCCCGCTGACCAAGACCATGGAGTGCACGTTTACCGTCCGACCACGGCCGGGCCACGTGGCAGACGCGACGTCGCCCAGCGCCAAAGTGACGTTCCCGGGCGGACGTGGCGGTTATGCAAGGACGGTGGAGGAGTTGACGTCGCCGCCCGGGAAGGGGTCCCCCGGCAAAGGGTTCCGGGACCTGCCGAGATGGGGGTCGAGGTGAGGAGCGCCAGAAAAAGGTTGCGTCGATTTGAAGTGGTGTCCTTCGTTCTATTTGCAGTCTGTTCTGAGGGGTCCTGCTCCAGCTCCGTGAGGCGAGTAGTCAAAAACAGCGGTTGCTTTTTCCTGCAAGGGCTTCGTAGTGTGTGCTCACCATTCGTCGTGATGATCAGCTCAACGCCTAGAAGAGTGGCTTGGTCACCCAGGTCGCTTGGCTTCGTTGAAAAGAAGCCAAACCATGCCTTTCACCAAGCCCGGAAATCCTTCGAAAAAGGTAACATTCCAAAGCGTGCCTCCAACCACAATCCTTCTGTGGAATCGGTCCTCTCCTCCTCGCTCCTGACATATGAGTCACGACCTACCCGCGTTTTGAGTCTTTATCGATCACGTGTGTTGCAGGGACTCTGCTGAGTGAGCTAACGCTGTCAGAAGGCGCGACAAGCTAATGGTCATCGATACAGAGGCGCCCGTTGCCAGTGAGAAGAAGTCGTCCAAGCGCCGAGGCTCGCGGAACGAATGAAACACAGCTTTAGAATGTATTCGGCTAAAGCGCCGACTAACAATCATGTGTCGTTAGAATCCCGATGCATGTGACGCCTATTGTGGAAGCGTGGATAGTCAGTTCAATCTCTTATTCGTCGAGCGCCTTCACGCGATGCAGAGAAAGAACGACTTGCTCTATCGGTACTCGCGCACGTACCATGATTTCCGAGTCTGCAATAATAGCGTCTGTGCAGCATTGCTGACCAGCCGCCTACACCATGCATATACTGTGACGAAATTTACACACCTGCGTGGAGGATTCTTAGCTCTGCAGCCGGACGCTCTTCACTTCCCTGCAATGACAATCCCTAATACTTCATAAACACTTCCGGATAATACATTGCCAAACATTCATTACTTACGCAAATTAAAAGCTCTCATTGCAATTGCTGTCCGGGATGCAAACTATGATGGTCACGCTGCTGATGAGAGATGTGTCCAAGAAATAAGCGCCTGCGATCTCAATCGGCCCCGGAACATGGAATACTTGCACCCAAGTATTTTGTATTCCAAAGCTTTTCAGAAGCTGTATTCCGTATTCCAAGGAGCTCAAGTATTCCGTATCCCATTTTGAGAAAGTCCAATTTGACAATTTCGAAATGTTCAATAGCGGTGCGCTGGTCGAAGCAATCCTTTCAAAGGTTTCTTTTGTCCAGAATGTGCTTTCGGGTGTCTTTCTGTTCTCAATGCAGAGATTCGGCCTTCCTTTATCACATGTTGTGTAGTATGCTCCAAAAAAATCAGTATTCTGTATTCTAGTATTCCAGGGGCAAAATTTGGGTATTCCGGATTCTTCACCTTTCAAAAATCGGTATTGTGACGCAAAACAACACCCCAACCGGGATAAAGTACACACGAGCCCGGATTCTCCTGCGGCTCAACAACAAGTATTCAATGATGCAAATCGGTCACGCAAGTCCTCGAAAGCTGCTCGAAACACCATGAAGTAGCTTACTAGGACGCCATAGTGCGCAAGAACGATGGACGTGCGGCAAGAGCTTCCTTACTTGGTCAATTTGGAATGAATGTTTTGAGTCGTCAACTTCGAACGTCTTCCAAACGTCTCTAGTGCTTACGTAATAAGTGGTATCTACATTATGCAGAGTCTCTGCACGCACGACGCGGCGACTGTCTAAACCGCGAGGTTTATCGATACAAATGCGGCCGCGATTTCGGCGGTTGTACGGACTCGGCAGTCCGGTCCGGCAGGGCGGAAATGTTTCGTCACAGCTGTGACGGCTCCCCCCGTTTGAGATCGCGTCCCCGCGCATCAAGATGCAATGAGGATCAGCAAAAACTGGACACTATGTATATTAGCTAGATTAGCTTGTACTATATACAAAGTTTCTCTACACAGCCTGCACCAGATCTTGTCAGCAGTTTGCTGAACCAGTTGGCCACCACCAAGCCAGGTTGGCTTTTGGTAGGGCACGTGAGCAGGTCACTGTCGGCCGATGGGTCCGCCAGACACGCCAAGCGGGCGCCACGGACCGGTTTCGGGCGACGGCGAGTCGTCAGTTGTTTCGCGCCAGGTCGCAAAAAAGTTGCGAGGCGGATTCCCGAGGAAGACGAACACGTCACCATCCTGGGGACCGCCTTCGTCAACCAGTCCGGACATATAGACGTCCAGCGGGAAGGCTGTGTGCCCCGTGTAGAACAAGTTGGCTGAGAAGAAACTGATAACGTTGTGACGAGAGTCCACGTACACAACGCGCCGCTCAGGGATGTTCCTTGAGAGAATTACCCGGGCTTGCTCGGCGGTCGAAAGTTGCACGTTTTCTTGAGCAGCCGGTCCAGTGGGTGCCCCGGCCATCCCGGGCCCCGTTTGGGCAGCGGGTGGAGCTTGACTCGGGTCCCTTGCAGTCGGGGCTGTTTCCGCTACCGTTGCAGGTTTCAGCTCCGAGTCCTGCGCCGGTAAAGAACTGGCTTTGAGCGGAAGTTCAATCCTTGCTGCGTAATGTTTGACAGCGGCTTTGAGGAGCAGCAATTCTTGCTTAAGCAAGCGGATTTGAACAGTATCGTTGGGGCGAAGAAGAATCATATCTGATTCCAAGCTTTTGAGAGCGGCACTATGCTCACAGCAAACCGGAAAACGAACCCCTTGACGCGGATCCAAAAGCTGGGGGGTCGGAGGTAGTTCATTCATCCCGACCAGAAGGGTCGAGTTCGGTTGGGCAAAAAGTTCGCCCAACTTTTGCTTTTTTAGAAGAGCCTCGCGAAGCACGCGTTCTCGAGCGCGTTTCGGATCGCCATCGTCCTCTGGCTTCAACAAAACCGGCGCGTTCGGACTTGCAGAAATTGCAAGCTGGATCCGCTCTGAACAAGTTGAAGTATACACGTGTTCCGTTTCGGCACACGACTGAAAATTCCTCACCTTGTTCGAAGTGGGCTGAGGAGGTTTTGCGGCTGGTTGCTTGAAAGGGACGGGCTCTTTGGGCGTTTATCCTGAGGTCTTTCCCCCGAGTCCCTCCTGAGAACTTCCATTTCTCCGTTCTTGTCCTTCTTGACAGCCCCCAGGATATAGGCCTCCCGTTCCTCTGGCGTATCCTTGGGCAACGGAGGTTCAAAAACCGCTTGCACCTCTGCCCGTTTGGCTTCCTTCGCCCGCTCCCTCATGTCAGCTTTGCGGCGTTCTTCTTCTTCGGCAGCCCGCCGATCCTTTTCCAACAAAGCTTCCAACTTCTCCTGTTTCTCCTCGACCTCGTTCTTAAACTCAAGCGCGGCTTTAAAACGCCCCTCCTTGACGCAAACCTGTTCCGCCCGCTGAGCCACTTCTATTTCCGTTTTCAACTGCTCTTTGCGCTGTTCCGGAGTGACAACCGGACCAGAACCCCCTGCAGCTTGGGCAGCGCCGAGCTTGTCCCCTTTCTTCCGCTTTTTCTCCTCTTTACCTAATCGCTCTCTTGCCGGGCTGCTCTGCCCAGGTTCTTTAACCCCGAGGTTAACTTCGGCAGCATCCAAGGCGGTCCCGGTTTTGGGCAGGGGCTGTTGAGCTGGCGGTAGGGACTCGGGTTTGGCTGCGGGCGACAAGGGTTTGGCGG